CAGGTGACGTGGTGCCACTTGCATAATGCATAGCATTGTTTATATGCATGTCGTATAGAGTATGAAGAGGCAGACAGGTGGCCCAGCTTATTGCCATTCTTACCTGTGATCTGTACCACTTGAGGCTCATTTTGAACCCGTCGCCATATTATTTAACGGCCCCAACTGGTGCGTTTTGAGCTTGACTACATTGCAAACCGGAGTTGATGATATTCTAAAAACCAATTTTCGTCACCTTTGTTGTAGAACTTTTGGTGGAGATGTAGTACCGGAAGGCATCACGCGGGAATGGCTTGACAATTCAATCTTCTTGATGACAAAGTGATGATAAAGTATCGCGTTTAAAAAGATCCTCCACTCTTGATAACAAAGATCTATATGTCCCTAAAGTATCATATTGAGTTTTTATGCCACAGTCAATGCAAAAGAATTATCAAGACAGGCAAAATGAAGACTAGGTGGCAGAATCTCACACCGGTAATGTGAAGCCTTGCTTATGTCACCTAGGCTAGAGGTTTTTCAGCGTCCATAATAAAGGCATTCTTGGGGTCACATGCCTCATGATCTCTTTAATGCGTAATTCGGTAGCTACAACGTTAGATTATGATATCATGACAATGATCACGACATTGCTTTTTCTTGAAACCCCCAATCTACTTTAATCTACTCAGTAGCATCCTGCGACTTCACCTCTCCACAGATCACAGCCCTGTTCGTGTGAGTCTTATCGCTGCACCAAAGAAACCTCTCCCCGCCTTGGATAACCTTCCACCTGAGACTGCCTCCGACACGACCACCATCACTACCAGCAGCAGTCGCGCCAGTACCATTTTCAGCTATCCCTGGGATCTACCCCCTCCACAAACACATCATCCCTCCTCCTCGTCCTCACCACCGCCTCCGGCTCCATTGAAGTGGGCAACTTTACAACGGCATCTTTCCGAGATGGGTCACTCACCTCCTCCTCTTCCAATAACGAAAACCCTGCAGCAGAATGGATGCGATAGTGAGGATGTCTCAGAGAGGATGTGCAGCGTCCCTTCTGAGGAGGCTATTGAAGGTTCGAGGCCATTGCTAGTGCCTGGAGAGAGGGAAAAGGAGGAGAAGGTTAGGAAAATGAAAGAGTTTTTAGTTCTTTGCTCCATACACTAACATCCGGCCCACATTTGACGCCTGTGCCAGTCCAGACATCGTTAAGTGACATTACAGTCCCCTGTAAAATGTGCGCATGACGTCGGGTGTGATCGTCCACAAATGCTCAGCCATTTGAATGGTATAATTGATTCAAAGACGAGCGGCCGTAGTTCCTTGGTGACGATTTCGGTTGCGGGGGTTTCCACACCACAGTCTCAACAGTTATACCTTTACAATAGCTTGTGGTAGGTTGTAGGAATTTGTCAAATGATTGCTCGTCACTCTATGCTCCATAAACCATTGATCCCTTATTCGGACCCACTGCCGAACCTGCTCTTTTAAGGCATTCGCGGATTTCCGCGCCTTCTCTCTTTTTCTCTCTGTTTGTGTGTAAGCTAGATTCCAGATGAAATTGGGCACCTACTGAGGGTCTGACGATTGTGTACGAGATTCCTCTTCTCCGTACAAATGAAACGTTTGCTAGAGAACCTTTCTGTTAAGCACCCAGTTCTAATAAATCACTTGGACGAGGATCCCAATCACACAAGATGAATGCAAGATCACGTTTCACAAATTTCCACCCGTAAGTAGGTCACAGAGCTCACTTTAGAACTAAAAAATGGCACTGCCCTTCATCAGAGAGCTCACAATTCTGTTTTACTACTGAGTGAGATGGAAATTTCAACCCCCCACTCCCTGATATCACCGTTTCCCTACCTCTAGACATATGCCACCATCGGTGACGAGTTAGGAGCCCACGAGAAGGCCCTAGAACGACTCCCAACAACGGAGGTGCCTTCACCAAATTTGCAGCAGATCTCTGCAGCAGGCAGTATTGAATTGCCCCAAAAGGAACCGGTGAAGCAATATGTCTGTAAGTCCACCTTCCGCTCATCAGACCGGCATATGCGTTTCTACATCGCCCGAATGCGGGGCTTGACAAGTCCCCTTTTTGATAGAAATGAGCTGCTCTTTACAGGATTTGCGAAGGAGGCAACACCAATGCACCACTCAATAGACTACAAGCTTGCACCTTTAAGGTCCACATTAAAATAACATTAAGAATTCAAAAAAGTCGCCTGGAATAAATTCTACCTTAGAATGATCAGGAAGAAGGGCAATAATGGCACCAAGGGATATGGGAAGATCAAATCTTTTTTAGATATTCGACGATCGAAAAAGTTGAGTTGGAGCGCTCTTATGTCTGTTGATGATGGTGGACGAGATTCCACCTCGTCAATTTTGTGAATAAAATTTAACCAGGTCTTGAAGCTTCTCGATGAACTTGAGGCATTGACATCCTTAGAAGTTGGGGTTGGAGAGCTCGTCTTCCACAAAAGTTGATGGACCATATTCCTGATAATAAAGGACCTTACCTCTATAATTTTGAACTATCTTTAGTAACTTGACGTTCCAAAAAATCAGTTGTGATTTTCCGGCCAAAATAAACCTACAGTCTTCTTGCAGACTTGGGCTTAAAGATCCAAATTTTGAATCTTCTTCATACATTGTAGCCATAAAATAAGGCGGTAGAGAATTGTCTATTTTCCCGACTAGTTAAATAGTGCTGCATACCTACAATCTCTCTCGATGCATTTTGATTACACGAGTGATACCATTTCATCTTACCGACTCGCACCCGTACCATTTACAGATGCTGAGGTGAGGCCATCTCCTAACGCCTCCACATCGAGCAGCACTAAAATTCGAAGTCCCCCAGTTCCGGCTCATCCCTCCAAAAAAAAAGCAACACCCCTCTCTCATGAGGCCCACTTTTACGAGGGTATAAAGAGTAACTTAACTCCATCAGAAGCAGAAGAAAAGAGCTTTGAAGTCCATTCCCCCACCAGTATGTCCTTCACCTCCACAGAACGTCCGATTCCCGCCAATCGGAGTAGTAGATCACCATCCAGTGTTGGCGAACCGGGCAGGCATCTGGAACAATTTGTTTCTGGGTAAGTCAAAGTTACTTCTTGGAATTCGGAATCTTTCAACAAGATCACAGCTACCAGGGAAAAATGGGCCAAAGCCGCTTAGATGTTTCAGTGTTTTGACATACATCCGAGTGTTACTAATTTTTTGACAACTTCAACAATTCCTAAAGAACCATTAAAGGGAAACTCTCCTTATATAAAGAACACTTGTCCTAATCACAGTCTGAGACACTATCTAGTGCAATCAACGGTCATCACAAACCGACGGGCAACACATGCCGCATTTGTGATTTAGGCAGAGAAAGTGTGACGTCAAACACCTATGACGCTAGCACTATATGTATTCAAGAGTTTTTAAAAATATTCCGCTGATATTTGCTTTTTTTGATTTAGTCTTATGAACGATAAAACTTCCCCGTTCTACAAACACATGTCAGCGTTCATTGAGTGCACCATCAAACAATTGGGACAGACACCACAGAAAACACTGCAAAACGTATGTCAACAAATGTGAATTAAAAAATCTGCAAACTTGTTGCTTTACTTCGCAAATATGACATTTGGATTGACATGCACATATCGCCTACATTTTGCTGTCATTTCGATCATGTCATACAACCTAAAACATTTTAGTAAAGACCAAAGATCGAAGTAAGGATCAAATGAAAAGTTACTTTATTTGATGTCATCAGGTTTCGGCAAATGAAGAAGAAATATTTCTCTCCAAACAAGTCTGTAGGCTTGACACTTATTTCACTATCAATTCGAAAATAGTGGACTAAAAATTACTTAGGGATTAGGCGAGACTAGCGGGTAAGCAAATCATAATTTGCGTATTTAGTAACTTCATACACAGGGACCATCTTAGCCGCTGGGAAACAAGGTTTTTACCTCGAGAAAAGTCGGGATTGTCTGTTAAAATAACGTCGACTTTTTATTTAAAAAATCGTCTCTTATCCTACAGGTAAAGACCTACTTAAATACTGAATAGATGAGATTCGTTTCAATGCGGAATTTTCACTTGTCATTCAGTGCACTCATGCATTATTTCAGGTTGTCTTTGTTCCTACTGCCTGGTCCAGAAGGCTAGTGCTCGAATAGTTTTAAATGCCATTCCTTAGAATAAATAAAACACCAGAAAATATGTTAAAATAAAGTCGTTTCCACCACAGATCTGTCAGTTCATAAACGGCGTCTCAAATTTCCTGCAAAAAGTTCATACCACTGAACTACGGCAGGCGGTGGAAGCCGAGGAAAGGGATCTTCGTGGACTCCAGTACTTTGATGTGGCCCAGGAACTAGAAACTCTAGTCCAATTAACAGTTTTGCGTCCACTGCATAGGCGATTAATCGAGGACTTGCAGTATCATGGATGTGGGTGCGTTTTACTCGACTAGTCTTTTTTACTTTTCATGATAAAAATGATTCTTATGAACAAAAGTGCAAAATCGTTTTGGCGTTTTTGAATTACGGTGGAGCGATGTCAAAGTCAGGAGGCTTGTCGAGTGATCAAATGCATGAATTAAGACATATAATTCAAATAACATTTTTATAGAAAAGGGATAAATATGGGTCCGTAATTATCATTGTTATAAGCCGTTTAGAAGGTAAGGAGGACAAAAGAACATTAGTTAACGTACTGAAGATGCCTGCAATGGCAGAAAAACGTTCCTGCTCAACTTTCTAGGGGATTTCGTTTTCGTAGATATATTCACGAGCATCTTTGAAACTTCCCTCTCGCATACTCCTTCCTGATTGGCTGAGATCGCATTAGCCTCACTTTAAATGCGCTAATAATCACCCTAAGTCCAAGGCCAACTAGTTGCCATAATCATGCACGACTGAACCGACGGTCCAAACGAGGGGAGCCCCCTTATCTGCCTAGCCGGGCGCACGCACGCTCGACGTGCTTCTCGTTGCTGACTCATCTGCGCTAACCAATAGAGCCTCGTACTCTGGGACCAATCGATTATCGGGTTGGATGGTCGATAGGACCCAGGGCACTGGCGCATATAGAAGTCGCAGTTCATACCAAAGTGCCTTTGGATAATCATCAATGATAGGTGACTGTGACTCCAAGTTAGATTGATGGAGGCTGGAACGGATAAAATGCCACAATTCCTATGTGGGGGATTTCTTACTTCCAAACGCATAACAAATTTTCGCTGGGATACTTATGTCCAAAATGGATTGATTTCATTTGTACGGAATCCATTACCTCATTCCTCACAATTTCTTGCAAACTAAGGTAATTATCTTTTTGCTTCCTAACGCAGAACTGTTTCACCGCAGACTGCGGAGGAATTCACAAATTTGGTGAAGAAGGCGTATCAAGAACTCCCCAATCTGAGTCAAGTGAGTTACTCTAGTAGTGAAATGTGTTTGTAGACAAATTTTTTCTACTTACAAACAGCATGTGTCATTCGTCTTGTAGGAGGATAGGCAACTATTGGAAAGGACGTTATTCCAGCCAGTGAGAAGAATATTCTATCAAATGCAGGATGCCTTTCAACCTGGTGCCAAGTTGGATTGTCTTATTCGCATTTTTCACACCATTGATTTGCAGGTATTACTCCGATTTCCTACTCCTTCTATTCATTCTTTTTAAAAGTTTTGTTCTTTGGTTAAAATGTCATTTAGTATACTAATTACAGTCACAAATTTATTTGTGGTTCATTATTTATTGGTTGAACTTGGAAAATGGGTGATTGAAACATTGCATTTTGTGAATAGAAATGTTCGTTTGGTTTTCTGCATTGGTCTCTAGAAGAAGAAGTTCATAAAATGTTTTTATGTATGCAGTCCATCGATGCGGTATTCGGCATCGTGGTCTGGACTATATACCTCTTATTCCAAACCATCGTAGCGTTTCTTGAACCCAAGAGATGTGATACGGGTGATGTCTCATCCCCTCTCCTCCCTCAGTTCATATCTCTCCCACTTTATAACATCTTCTCTTGTATAAGATAATTGCATGTGAAACAAAGCTGACAGGTTGGATTAAAGCTTACGATGGCTGGGAGTGGATGCGTGTTTCCTCTTGAGAGGTAAAGTTTTGTAAAGAAAAGTGTACTAACTGGCTCGGCTTTAAAATATCGCATAAGGTTTCCCACCAATATATTTGGTTGCCTTGCATTTCTAAGAAAGAATAAACTGTCTTACACGTTTTTCTTAGGTTTTTTAGAACACTAAACTATAAATTTTGTATCTGCAGGGGTGTTTGGATATTTTAGGGCCCCATCTTAAGTCCTGAAAAGTAGCATTTTCTAAAAGCGCTCCCACTTATTGTAATTTTAAAGCAGTATAACCACACAACTACAGCAAGCAGTATCTGATAAGTTGGTACGTTGCAAGCTCTATAGATAGCTTCCTGACGAACTGGACTAGTGAAACCATCTTGATATATTTGATGAGATGACGACGAGTAGTATTCTGTGTATTCCTTTTTTAAACACGGTAATGGCTGTCAAAATAACGAGATCGGCAGGCATTCTCCGCTTGAATTTTAGGTTGCTAGGCTTAAACGGGTAAATGCATTGAAATTAAATTTTTTTTAGAATTTTTTGCTCTTTATTCCCAGATATGGAATTCTATCGTTGTTAAAAAGTGAGATTTTCCTAAGTACTTTCATGTCTCCTTTAGGTACCAGTTCCAAAAAATTCAATTCCTGGTCAGAGCAAGGATTCGTGTGATATAGGTTGGTTTTCTAATTTCCTTTTTTTCAATGACTACTAACAAGTGAATTATTACTTCACTGATCTGGGGCAAATTTATTCGTAAAAATCTCACTTCGCTTATTAAATGCTCCTAATCCAAAGTTTATATCGACAAGATAGCTCTGACTCTCTGACATGATCCTACCAGGTAGCCTATATTCCCCTCATGTAATCTGAAAAAGTTGGGTAGATTTATAAATCGCAACCAAAAAGGGGCCTAAAGTACTGCCAAAGAGGCTGTAAGACGTGAATTTCACTGGAACTATGCAGAAAAGCCTGGCGACTGGTGCTGTGAATAAGAAGAGCAGCAGACCTTTCTACCGCCACTTAATGCTTGAGGAAATTTCTCGGTAAACTGTGAGCATGTGAGATCTAAGAGCTAAAATGAACGAAAGTTGTGGGCGTTGTTACTTACCTTTGTTTAAATCAAAGCCTTTGTTTGGAATGTGGGCGATTATTTTTTTTACTTTAGCTGAAAAGATGTAATGACGCATTTTTCGGTATTGCCTGATGTGTCTTGTTGCAAGTCATGGCAAATGTTTATGAGGCATGCATTAAAAAAGATAAATGAAATGCATCACCCCGTTGATATGGTTCCCTTCCTGGTGTTTTCAGCAAATTTCCTCTTATTTTGAACTGTCGCGTCGTGAATTGTAGGCTAAAACTGGTGAATGTGCTCTGAACTCGTCCACCTTATAAGTGTAACATTGAAGTTAGGAAGACTCTCTACGCCCCATTATGAGGGATAATATTTTACTGAGTCTGGACTGATAGGTCAATGATTTGGAACTTTCAGTACCTAATTTGATCGGGTGATTAATTGATTTGTTCATATCTACATCAAATAGACGTAATCAGCAGATGGAAATAAGCTCCCAATAGCATCTAGATTTTGACTTTCACTGTTTTCATGACGTCGAGGATTATTTGCTCGCTGAACCGTTAGTAAGACGTGGTATTTTCACTGGTTTCCTCCTTGTGTATTTCAAAACATTACGCCTATCACTCAATGTACACTTTAAAGGCTTGCAGCGCTTCACTCTCAGCATATTTTTTTGGCTGTGTGACGGACTGCGGGGCTTAAACTGTATCGACTTGACATAATACGGGGTGGGTGCAAGAAAACATTTTTGTGAAATAGGTAAGATTAATAGATAATTCTGAAGAAAGTTTAATCCTTGAAGAATAGCACATGATCTCCTACCTCCTCTATCACAACTTACCTTTGGATAAGAGGAAGAAAATAGATACTGCCACATTCTCCTGATTTAAGAGTGATACTTATCATCCTCCCCTAGAATTCAACAGAAGCAAAGGTGGACAGATCTAAGTCTTTTTGAGGTCTATGGAACAGAGAAAACCTTCGCAAAGTAGAATTTGCTCGTTTTTGTCCAGTTTTAAAAGATCAAACGGAATACAGTCGGTATTGTTTGGGCGAATAAAGTAATTTAAAATGCCTTGTATAAAAGTATTTACAGAACCGGAAGGTGTTACTGGAAATGGAGAATCTTTAGAAATGCCTCGTGCCAACTTACTGCTTATGTATCAACTAGTTTTCGAAGTTTAAAAATGCACAATTTTCCTAAAAATACTTAAAAATTAAGAATGTTCCAATATTTCTCTTGATAAATAATATTTCACGAATTAGCGATATATCTGCAAATTCTATTGTAATGGATCGTGAATTACGACTTTGGCGGCACAAACATGCTGTAATATACCACCTCCGGTTTCAATAATCATTCTTTGAAATGATTTTAGAGCGACTCATGCTTTACGCCACCGTCCTTGCTATGGTCGATCTCCTGAAGCCTTCAAGAACCTTGGATGTAAAGGACAACAGTAATGCAAGTACTGGTATCAGTCGTATTGAAGTTCAACGCCTCTACCTGGAGGCCATCATCTCATCAGCCCGTCTGGCCTCCAGTGCTGAGGGCTGTAAACGTCTCACCGATCTTGTTTGCCTCCTTCGCTACGTGGAGAATTTTCGACACTATGCCTCTCCTGCTGGGGTGGTTCGTCTTCTCCGTCGGCGAAATCACCAGGCCGCGGAAATTGAGGCAAATTTGGTGTCCTTTTGAAGTCGAAAATTCTAGAGAACTTCAATCTTATTACTCGCTGTTTTATGGGCGGTATTACTATTCAGGGGATTCGACGAAACTCATTAGCGGGTATTTTGTTCATTTTGTTGGTAAATCTTATAAAGAATCGTCGCAGCTTCGACGGACTAATGGGGTACAGGCATGACAGGAGGGCAGCGCTGACCCAGTTAGGGCGCAACCTGTATAGACTGAGAAGCTCGGTGAATGAAATATGCAGTCAAACATGATGTCCAACCGCTCGTCCATCAGTGGGGTCCTTGAGAGATTTTACTATAGCGATGGGCTAGGGCACGTCAATTACTTATGACCCATTATATAGATTTTCACAAACAATGTAGGGAGCTCTACCGAACCTACAGGCACTTTAGAACCTCATTATTTAACTCGTCCCCTTAACCGATTTCCAACTGAACAACATGCGTTTCTCAACACTTCTTTTACAAGATTCTATAGATTATCCCATCCTTAACATGCGCCTTTCCTTTATGCCTTCTAGTGCAGCGATTCACAGATGCGTTAAAATTTAAGCCTCTTTTGAAGTATGAGCTAAATTAGCTCAGTTCTTTCAAATAATTAGATGTAAGCATGTTCCACTCCACTGTGTCATTGCAGCACTTGAGTAACCCCATAAGGCACTGTAAGCCATAGGGGAGTGGAAAGATCGCCTGGAGAATAAATCATGGAAGGTCAACATTACACTCACAGTTGCTTTGTCTACTTAGGCGACAACTTGGCGCCCAGGCCTAAACAAACTGCGTCGCTCCTACACCGACAACATTCAGGAAGCGCTGAATCGCAGAAATGACCACTCGATGACCCTCAGTTTAACCTCACCTCCCTGGCAGGGGAGGAGGGTGAGGAAAGTGGGGTGTGTACAAAGCTTTGAGAAGACCTCTGCCCCCTCTTCCCCTACTGTCTCCTCTATTCTTGTTCTCGCAGCCAATGAGTCCGAAAGGCTCCTGGTGCCATTTGAAATTCCTCTTCGACAGAGTCTGACGGTCAGGGAGCTGTGTAAGTCATGCGAATGCCAAAGAAGGGACAACATAACTTCATTAATTGAGTCCTTATTTGTACTGAGCATGTTTTAACCACAAACTTACTCAGAGTAATAGCGAATCCTGAAGTTCTGAGGCTATCCTGAGGTCGTTAGAGCCAAAGTGTTGTGGAAGAGCGCATATCACTAGCGTCCAGTAGGACTGGGTGGCTGCTAGACTGGTCTAAGGGCTATCCTACAAAGCAGAAGTGCAACATGCTTAAATACACAATTAAACAAACAATCAAATAGACCTTACCACTGTCAGATTATTCGCAGTGCGCCGACTCTGTTCTGGTGACGAGAGAAAAAAATAATGGGTCAGAATATGTTCTGCCGCCATACAGAAGGCTACTGGAATGGGCCGGACGTCCGGCTATCCTGAGAAGGTGCAAGGGTGAGGACCCCAAGTGATCCCGTTACCAGAACTGAGGGTCAAATAAACATTTAAAGCATTACCTATCCCCTATCCCCTTTTGAGCGTCATCCTCAGTGCTTTCCTTGGTGAAACTCTCGCGTCAGCCACCATAACGTAATTGGTCCTGTAAGAAAGACTCCCACGAGTCAGCTGCGTTAGTCCAGTTGATAGTTGATCGCAGTGTCACTGATTCCTCTTCACAATTCTGCTGGATTTGGTATTTTGTCCTGTAAGGGAATTGTATGGGGCGAGGAGGGAAGCGGAGACGTAGTAGTCGGCACTCATGTCCATCGTCAGCCTAAAAGTGGAGTCAAATAACGAAGAACAAGATTTCGCGTAATTCGGTGGAGAGGGCGGGTGTAGAATTTTGTGTATTCCCTTCCTTTCCACATTGTTCTCACTTCAGTACTGCCCAGTCTCACCCATCTGGACCAGGCATTACGTAGTCGATGTCTTCATGCGGGCTATGGTAGGCAGTTCCGTAAAAACTTTTTAGATGCTTCACTTTAGTAGTGACTCCCACTCCTGCAGAGCATAGAACTAAGGCGGTTACCGATGGTAGACGTCATTTTCAGCCCTTCTCTTGGATGCAGTCACCTAATCTCCCAACCGTAGTTTACGCACTTCTTCCTCCTCATCAAGGTTTATCACCTAGCAGGAGAAATCGGATTTCCTTTCCGCTGCCACCAATGCAGTGCCCCAAGACTTCCCTGAAATGTAAGAAGACAATACGAAGGTAGAATATGTATTGTCGACATGCAGGAAGGCGGGGGAAGGCTACTGGCATGATCAGGAGGCCCAGACCCGTTACCAAAACCGGGACTTATCAAACAATTAAATGGGATTTCTGTCTTGGTTCGGAGGCTGTTCCAGCCGGCTGAAGTACAACTGCGTAGCCTTTTATGGATATAGGCGTTGATTAATCTAGTAAAAGTGGTATTTTTTTAAAAATTGTGCAGTTCCTAATCTAATATTTGCCATTTTGCCTCATTGCAGGTAATATGCTGGCTCTGAAGTTACAAATATTTGATTCAAAGGAGTACGCTCTCTTCTATCACTCACTCAGTGGAGGTGAGTTCTACACTACTACCTCCTTCTTCGAGGCTGGTAGTTCGTTCTGCTTGACGTTGTGTAAAATAGTCGCTTATTGCTGTAGTTCGTCTACCACCTTCTAAACCTTCAAGCCACAAAATGTTAGCTGGAACTGGTGGAGGCTAATTAAGCTTTCCTACCACACAGACTCGCTTCCGATGGTGTGGAAGTTATTGTCTCAAAAAAATTGTTATTTGGCATCTGGAGAGGTCCTGGTAGCCGAAAGTGTCACCCAGACAACGTTTAAATAACTCGGTTTCGGTGATGACATATGCATCATTCAAAGGCGGCTAAACCACACTCAAGCGACAGATCCTTCATTTTCAGAAGTGTCAAATATTGGCGTGTCACAATCTTTGTCGAGCATTAATTCGAATTTGGAGAGAATTTGTTCACACTCCCAACCCAGCAGACTCTACACTTTGGCCTCGGGTCCACAAAGTTGGTGTACAATTCTCTTCGAAAACATCTCAAAATTGATGGGCATCTCAAATATCTCGCATTTGCTAGCTGAAGGGCTTTCAAGAGTTAAAAATTGATAGTCCGTTTGTCCAATCGGATATTTCTCATTCGCTTTGTCTCCCAGATATTTCACTATCGGACACCCTTCACCTGGAGCGTTTCATGACCCAAAGCCTGGACCCAAGTGTCCAATCAGTAAATTGCGAGATGGGCGCCTTCTTCTCCTCCTCCAGTAGCATCGACTTTCTCGCCAACTCGCAACCGACCACACAGAAAAAGTCCACTCTTCGACGGTTCTTTCAACGTCGAAAGCGTGTTGCCAGCTCAGATTCATTGAAGAGCGAGTCGCCTCTCCCCCAGCAACAACATCACCGAAAGAGCAATGGGGTCATAAAGCGTCAACCCTCAATCGAATGGAGTACAGTGGATGGTGGGGACACCAATTTTGTCCTCGTCTACCGTCGACGCAGCAGTGAAGCGGTGCTCTACGCCAATGATCTCTTCGAATGCTTTCCAAGTGCTGGAAAACTTATCTGATTGTACATAACCAAAATTTGAACTAGATTTTCGTCTTCCAACTTTATACTATCAATGATTTCCACGATAAGAAACCAAGAATCTGGAAAGCTGTTTGACCGAATAAAATGCGAAAGAGATGTGATTGGCTTGTGCTGACCTTTACGCGTTTTGATTGGTCTGTTTAAGTTGACCTCTTTGGCCTGATTAAATTCAATTGGCGAGGTTGGTTCACACGCGTAAGGTCATGCTACAAAAAGCAATTCTAATTTTCCCCCAAAAATTTAAGGTAATGCGATGGGTACTACAGTTAATGCATCAGTAACACTGCATGAGCTTTGAATTCGAAAGGGAACCTGTCCTTTGATGCTCGTATTTTGCCTTCAGAGGTATTAGTGCGCCTTTCCTTGAACTCAGCATTAAAACACCCGGCATCGAAGAAATGTGCAAACGTACAAGGACTTATGATTTTGCTAAATAGAGGAGGAGGTGGACATTTGAAACTGGGTCACCTTTGGCACTTAGAAGGGGTTCAAAGGGAAAATAAGCGCGAATTCTGATCGAGATTTGGGAAAAGAGAACCTTCTCACGTTTCGAGAGATCAAATGCCTCCTAAAAAGAATGAGTGCAAATGTGGTGTAGGTCTAAGTTCGCTGTGCCACAGGTGTACTACTGGAGCCAGACACCAGTAGCCACAAAATCGGTGCCGTGGGTAGAATTAACCCGGCCTAAACATACCACCCCCCGCGTAGATCGAATCATGGGTAGCGGATGACCTTCGCTAATCAAGCTCACAATAAAAGACAGTTTAATTCACTCTAATTCCTTCGTACGTTGTGATTTTTCCCTTGATGATGTTTTGATATTTTGCGTTCCCACTAAAATGACGAGATGACCATTTGAACATCTCTACCACAAATTATCAGGAAATCAGCTACAAAGTGTCATACTAAAATACGTATGTAAAAGATACAAAGTGTTGGAGGGAAGGAGGTGTGCCATGTATTGTTTTCAAAAGGTGGAGAATTCAGAATGCAAATTTGCGCTTAAATTGAGTAAATATTAACAAAGGAAAAATTGGGGTCACGGAGGCATTTCATTAGCCAAGTCTTTGATTGGACAGTCCATTCCCCAACGTTTGCCTTATTAAAATTTCATAGAAATGAAAAAAGCATACACATTCTGGAACATCCTTGGTTTTCCCAGAGTGCTTCGCTTTACTTAGTCAAATGATTCTTGCTAAAAAAGAATGACGGTTTGAGGGACTGACAGTTCAGACCATCATGATTGGTTCATTTTCGGGAACACATGATTGGGGGATTTCAAATACGAAACGTTTATTGGCTGGAATGTTCATGGTCGAAAATCACAAGCGAGGTTGGTGTTGCAGATATCCGGCACATGGAAGTCATCAAGGAGGTGAATTTTCGGTCCAATATCGGTAAAATTTTCAAAAATCTGATGCGCCCACCCGATATCACCTTCATACCAAAATGATACGTAGGGACGATAGCCACTAAAGGAGGGAAAGTTATTTTATTTTTATTAGCAGATTAGCTTTATTGTAAATTGCATCCCAGAATACCTTACATGAGTGATTAGAAAACCGTATCGTGCTTGAACATTTAAAAGTGTCTTTGTTAAATGGGGATATATATCCTCAATTTTTTTACTGAATGACTCATCAACACCAATGATATAATAAATATTGCCTTGATTGTATCAGATGGACAAAAACATTCATTCAGCACTTGTTGGGTGTAAGTAATTGTTTATTTAAGTACAGTATGGTGCGTACCCGTGAGTCTTCCGTTATTCCTTCATTATGAATCTCGATACAAGAAATAGCTTTTGAATTAAGAGAGAAGATATAAGTGTGTCTCCTTTACTTCGGTTCCACCGTTGCAGAAGCCTTCCACTCTATTATTTTTATGACATCTAGAGAGGATGTGATGGCTTAATCTATCATTTAGAGTAAGCTGAATGGCATAATTCTGGCGGTCAATAGCCAAAAGATGATGTATCCTGCCCTGAAGCATCCGGATGATCGACAACGAAGAATACTGTGACACTATTGGCTAGAATACCTCAGGTTCAATTCATCAGGAACAGCTTGTGAACGATAAACCAATTGATTGAGACTAAGCAGATGGATTTCAACCGTGTGCATTTGAAGAAAATAAAAAAAACTTGATAAACCGTACCTCTGCTAAGAAGTTGATTGTGTTGTTAAAGAACACACTATCGACTATTCCTGGACAATTTACTATTCAGTCGGCAATTTATGATGGTGACTTCTAATTTAATGCGAGCATTGAGCAAGTCCAAAATAAAAGAATAACAAAAAAGTAATCTCATTTTAGGTCCATTTCACAACATCGATTCAAACACTTCATCAGGAGTATCTTCTTACCTGGGCAGAGGTTTCCTCGCGAACCCGAATCCACCAAATACGGGATGATCGCGCAAACCAGCACTCATTTGTGGAATCACCCACCAGTCAATCAACTGCTTCAACACCTTCCTGTTCACTCCTATATCCCACGTCGATCCATTGTAGTACTTCTCGAACTGGAGCATAAAGTCCCTGTGCGGCGGCGACCAGTTGGTACGATAGACGCAGCAGGGTCCGTAGTGATTGATAAACGGAGAGATCAAATAAGCAGTGCGATTGTAATTGAAAAATATGCAAGGAAAGTAGGCATTGGGCCAGAAGATGGGGACGCAAAAGTCAGTGTAGTTCTCCACCATGATACCTAAATCCGGTGCGTAGACGGCGTAGCCCCGACCAATGGCGTAAGGGAGGAGGGGTGGAATGCCATCAATCCAGGGAGGTAGAGGCATTTCACGATCTTCACGAGGAGTGTAGGTGATAGTAAAATCCGTGTAGAAACGGGGAGGAAGTATCGGAGCTGATGGTGGTATTGGCGTCGGTGTTGGCGATGACAGAGCTTTCAAAAACAGCTAAAAGTGAAAGAGATAGGAAGAACGGGTAGACGAATAAATGAATGATTTATGAATGAATAAGCTCTACATCTCTATATCGTCTATTCGCCTCATTTTTCTTGAAAGGGTTTATTTATAAATCGGACCAGGCGACCTAAAATACCCCACAGTTGGCGCTGAAGTTCCATGGAATATGAGACACTTGTCAAATGTCAGTCTATTGATTACCCATGCCCATTTACACCATCCTGCCTCTGAGATGTCATACTGAACTGGAAGATGGAGGGGGGAGAAAGGCAGGTAGATAAGGAAGTGAGGAGGGAGAGAGAAGCTGTTACCACCATCCTCCATATTCATCAGACTTCCGTTTGATAGGTGTAACATCTGGTTCTAGGACTCACTAAAATTTTTCATTACGGTCTTCAAATTTCCTACTCATGGTCAAAATATGATCAAATATGGAACTCACAGTCTGTACTAAGAGAAACCACAACATAGAGTAGATGCCAGACGAATGAATTTTGTGGTCTTGCACGCAAATACGCGCCCCTTGAGTGGTAAGGTGACCTTTTGTTAGCCTAATGACAATTGGCTTCTACTCCCTCATTCCTGATTGGCGAGGTCTATGAGGGTGTTTAGGCAGTTGGTCAATCTGATTAAGAGGAGTAAACAAATAGTTGGTGAATTTGAGGTACTAATCTGGGAAATTGAGGCTCTTGAGTTACTCCTGTGGACAGGGTAGGATCCACAAGTGTAGGTTCAGTTGGAGAGCTCCTGGAGGTCAATTCAAGAGCGCTCAAGGTCATCTGCATAGTGAGGTCTGTGACTGACAGTGGCAGACCCCAGTGAAATGCCACTCTTCTAGTTTTAGTGTGTTACCCTTCAATCTACCATTGTTTACTCCTCTGTGTTAGCCAACCCAACAATAGTCAGTAAAATGGCGTGGTGCCCTCTGTTGACTTCGGCACCGATCATCTTTCCTAACTACTTCCGGTAAATGTTGTTCTAGGAACTCGTTTAAAAGGTAGAAGTTTTCTAAACACAAAACCACCCGATAAACTCGTCCAACATAAAATGGGAGATCTGATTTTGCGCGTATTGAAGCGGAGATTACCGCAGAGGCGCTCGTGCAGTAGTGAGTGACAAGTGTGTCACCCACCGTGGACCAGTTCGGAACAGACAGGGTGTGAATGAAATGACATGTGATTCTAAGTGAAAGGCCGTGTGAACACGTCCCCAGAGGTCTTCACTAAGGTGATGAAAAGCTCACCCTCTCGTCAGTAGGTATAAGTGCTTTGAACACGGTTGGTAGTACGTGTGTCAATGAGGATCTCGGCCGCGATGGCTCCCACCTCATAGCCCCGACAGACATATCCGTGAAACTTCAGCAGTTGGAACGAGTTGAACGGTGATGTCGCTCACCGGTGAACATTTGTTACCTAGATCAAGTGACTCAAGCCAGGCATCAGGACAACGTTTTGCATCAATGTCGAAGTTGAGGGGGCTAGGGTCAAGGTGATTCAGCCATTGGCAAAACTCTACAAATGTGTCTGAGGACTACGCCTCACAGTAAACCTAAATTCCCAATTTCACTCCAATTTACACGAAATGTCACTAGTTTCTTTAATGCCTTCAGACCGTACACTTGCCAAGCATCACCTACGTGTAGCAAAGTTGTCGTTTATGGATGTGCAGGAGGGCCGACCCTCCTCTGCCAGCGGTCCAGGTGGACTGCTATTGACAGGTACGCCAAATGTGCAATGTTTTCGCACATTTGGCCTTGAAGATCAAACACAAGTTTGGCGGTTATGTGGTGTCAACAAGTCCAGTAGGTAGTCCACTTCAATTACTTGTTTAACTTGAAGGGACCCAAGAGAACTTTGATGTGCCTTGACATGTTTTTGTAAAAAAACCAGACACCTACCTTAGGTTCGGGAGCAAATTAACGAGGACTGCAGAGCAAATTTAGATTTTTCGGAAGAAGACAATCAAAAATTTTAAAGAAATTTTTCAAAAAATATGAAAAACATCCAGAAAACCTTATTAAGTATTTAACCTACCAAATAGATCGCTTTTTTTTAAACCAGAGAAGTAGCTGTTCCGAATTCCACTTTCATGGAATGTTTTGTATCTAGAAGGCAAGGAGGAGACCTAGTCCCAGTCACCTCCATTTTCCGCTCCATTAAAAATATCTACAGCCTTAAAAGGTGCCTAGAAGCAGCTTTATTTTCCACCTGACTTACAAACACCTCAGAGGATTTCCAAAACTCGTACCCTCATTCAGCTCCTCTGATTGGCCAGTATCATATGGAAATAGACTTCGCATGAGCTAAGAATCACTATAAAAGACCAAGTGCATTCAAAATATAGTGAATGGGTAAGAATGACGCATCCTAGTGGCTCCATCAACCGGCCCTTCAGCAGACACGAGTACGCACAAGTGGTGGCCTCCAACTTGAAGACATCCCTTTTGAAGTCTCTAGCGCTTTGATCCTTCTGGCAGGGAACTCGACAGGATCCGCAGTCGTGAGCATAAGTACTAGGTTATAACCGTCATATCATCAGTACCCAACCGTCCATTTCATAACATCTCCGATCGTATGATTGTTTGATGGTGGTGTCAAGAAATGTTGAGCATTGCTGGGAGGAATGGAAAATAGGATATTGTAAGAAACGAGGATGAAACTGTGCCTTCCCTCTCCCTTTCTTCCTATCCCTCTCTTTCTTGCCCTTGAATGAAGTGAACGTCGTCTAATACGCGATTCTTGGAACGGTATGAGGTCTAGTGATAGTGATCCTCCCTTTAGCGACAACTTAACTAGTCTCGACTGTTTTTGGATCATGAAGGATTGCCTATGTACACTTGAAATGTACTTAGTCCTTGCTAGGTAAAAGGTTCATTAATGAAAATTGCAGACGCACTAAGCAAGCAGTACCCTTTAGAAGAAGTGGTGATGGTCTCAGAGATGTGGATCCTTAAGTGAAAGTTAATGATTCCCTCATTCGCATAATAACTTATCCAGCGCAGAAGCCACCCTGCATCAAAAGCCAGTTAATCAGTCAGAAAAATAGTCTACAATGAGTGATGCTTTTCCATGAAGCAAATGAAAGAGCTGAAAGAAAAAACTGGTGGTAGTCTTTAAAATTTTTCCCTATGCTTTATTATAAATGGGTGAAGATAAGGTGGTCAATTTCCATCTTCCCTTCCTTATTTAGTGTCCTCAGGTTTTCTTAACACTTAAATAGAGAATAGCAAGAGGAAGAAACAAGAGTGCTGAGTCGTGTAAACAGGATGCGTCTACCGTCGGATGATTTTTTGTCAGACTTCCACTGATTAGATCAATTCTGGTAGGAAGAGGTTTTAACAACCTCAGAGCCGGGTTAACCATGTCCTGTAAAGCAGGCATGCTCGTGGAAGCGCACCCACCTCACCACACCCTTTGTAACAAGGGTAATTACCAGAAGAGGGAGGTAGTAGAGAAACCAGTGAAGAGTATAGGGTACCGCCATGCCTGTTCATTCGACAATTTTCTACAATTACGCTACACTCCTGACCACACATCAGATATTTGATATTTTGCTTAGTAGGCCAGTTCCCAACAAAATCTACTTTCGTAAGCATTGGGAGCTAAATTTTTACACTAAATAAGAAAAGAATTTTGCCACCAAATTGAGATAAAAAGCAGTGTTATCTACTTAAATGCAAATAAGTAGGTCTTGAATGACTCCGTGGAAGCGTTTATTTCCGCCCCAAATAAATAGACATTAAGTTGGAAATCAGAAATTTTCTCGGTTACAATGAAGGTCTCTGCTTGTTTTTGCTGTAAAATACTGCAATTTATGGAACCTTTAAGCAATATATTTATGTTCTCAAGTCAAGTTCTTTGCTGGCAAAGAGATTTGAGTTTCGAAAACCTCGAAGTTCAATCAGAGTTGCCAGTAGATGCCCTCACAGACGAGAAAAGCAATTGCTAATGTGGGGATTGGGGAGGGACAGTAATCTCCTTCAGTCCTCCCCTCTTCCTTTCTCTCGACCTGCAATTAAGTGGAGATCTTCACAGAGGCATTTTGAGGAGAGGCGTGGATTCTTGCCTTGCATGCCAAGATCTTCAATGTCAACAACTTGTGTACAACCAAACCATGGTTCACGTCCATTTACCTCTTGACTGGAGTGCTAAGTCGCGGTGGTCTCATTCTCATGCGGTTTTAGCACGTTTAGAGTGTCGTCACGTGCAACTGACCACGAGAGAAGAATCCGCGTGACTGCTAAAGCTGAATTGCTTTATGCAATATCCAGGAAAGGCAACTTGAGAAATGCTGTTTCAGTATTTCTTTTCTATGTATAGTGGAAGGCCTTCCTGAACTAGATGTGCGATAAGCTGTGCGACCACACCTTTTCCAGGGGGGTTCCTTCAAATCTAGCAAAATCCCTGATTGCACAGCCTACAAGCTCTAGTCGCTTCCATCAAATGAAACAATGAAGCGTACGGGGTGTTAATAGACTAACGCGCATGTCTACACACTTCCAGGCATTAGCAGAAAAGATCAGACGCTGTTGCTTAGATCTGACTAATGCCTGGAAGAGTGGGTGGTGGGAGCCGACTTCTGTGGATTCCATATAGAACAGTTAAATTTGCCTCTTTAACTCAAAAATCACTGCTGCATATGATAACATGGGTATTTTCTAAAAGGCTTTAGAGTTTTCACTCTTTTTCACCTCCTTTTATGACGTCACCACCTTCTGATTTTAGCCTTTCTGAACGTTCACAACAAATCTTCTTCCTCAACGGTTTAACCTGTCACCGCTCGGGTGTTGAATGTACCCGATCCAAAAGGACAGCTGAAGTCACGCTTTTGATTGTTTGCTTTGAGGAAATCCAAATCGGAGGAGTTCTTGGTCTTGTGCCCGAAAAGAAGGCAGGTGATTAATGAAGCTACTCCAGACTTGAGACATCTGATAGTGAGTGAGGGATTAAATATCATCCGAATAGATGGGTAGAAAGCAGTGAACTGAGAGCAGCCTGACAGAGGGGAACGGGTGGAGATACTACCTCAGTAAAATCGCTTACTAAGCGGCTCAGCAGTTGTTGTCCAACCTCAAGCGATGTCCCTCCTCAATGTAGTCCCCATAAGGAACAGATCTTTGAATGCTGTGAAAGTGGGACTGTCTAGGAAATTGCAGCCTGCCTTATGAAGGCAAAATGTGGAAGAGTAACCAAAGGGAGCGCCGGAAATGCTTATTTAACTATACGGACTCTCAACTGTTCGTAGTTTTTACCTCTAGCTTCGACTTTCATAGCCTTTCATCCCTCCTGGATGTTCAGTAAACCTCCTTTTAGGCCAATGTGGAAAGGGGACTCCAAATACCACATCCACTAAAGCCGGTTTACAGAAGTGGTCACTTTTCCTGTTTCCCTTCCTATTCAAATCGTTACTGGCCCATTATCTCTTTCCTGCAAAGGGAGGAAGTCGACTTATTCTTGTAACTTGGTTCAAAACTTCCAGCCAAATCTGCAGCAGGTACCATTATGAATAGGTAGTAGGTGACATTCTCCCCCAGACTGTGGATTTATCAATTTTGGTTCCTGCCTGGTGACCTGTAAGAGTTCACGCAACTACTTGCCACTCCGAGATATAACAATGACTTTTTAACAGGGTTGAGGGAGGAGAAGAATAGGGGAGTAATGTAGTAGTTGGATAGTTGCCTTAAGGCTTGTCTAACTGGGCAGCTTGTACACCTCCTAAATGATACAGTCTCCCAGTTGTGTCTAAGCCTCCCAGCTCCTCTGATGGTCAGTACGAAAGCCTCTTCCCTTGGTAGTGTGACCCGGTTCAGACTCCGAGGTAGAGACGGACACGTCAGATTACGAAGTATTTTTCACAACTGCTTTTTCTCTGAGTTAGCAATAAATCGAAAATTTTCTGTTGCAGATGGGGCAAAATCTTTTATAAGTTGATGACAAAATTGGCATTATTGACATTTAAATCGTAGCATCCATGCCCAAGGTCAAATGGGCATTCCTCTTGACAACAGAGGTGATACAGACGTCACGACCCAAAGCAATAAAATCCTGACGAACCTCCCGGTCAGAATAATCAAGGGACTAAGACCTCGGAGGTGAGGTCGTGAATGCCAAATTTTCCCAAGTGCGAACGAAACACGGTGTCTGTGTTCGTGCCCGCTGGTGGGAGGAGTGAGTCGGTGAGGCGGTGATCGCCTTCTCGTCCACCTGAGTCACTGTGGTTACCCTGAGGGATTGGGGTATTCAAAGTGCCTCCACGAGAATATAAACCAATCAGGAGGAATTCGGCGGGAGAAAGTTAAATTCAACCCGCTTCCCGCAAAGTTTCAGAAAGAGAAAATTTGTGAAAATTTATAAAAGCTACTTGTGAGGTTATGGACATCCCAAGGCAAGAAATCCTACTCCGAAATCCCAGCAAAATTCCAACGGACATCATCCTCCTTCTGCCTACAAGGGAATATTTACTTTCTTCCGACGGAGTACAGCAAGTTCCTTGAAACAGGGACCACTGGAATGAGATTTACTACGCTATGCATAAAGCAAAGTAAAAAAAGAAGGGAAAAGACGGAAGAAAGGAAATTACACGGAAGGTAGTGGTAAAAGTAACTAGAAGACCTACTGACATCAATCTTAAACCATGAAAGGCCTTAGAGACGGTGATGCTTAACCAAAATTGAAGTTTCAACTCATCAGTCCTCACTGATGGGGGAAGGGAGCGTTGCTGCATCTCCGAAATTCCAGAGAGAGAGAGAGAGAGAGAGCAAATTTTACTTACAAATAAGGTGTAGAAATTCATCAGCTTCTTTTGATTGGTGAAAGAGAGCGATTATTGGCGTGGATGACTTTCGTAACTGGGGTTAATCAGGGGGATAGGTCATTTGGGCAACGACGCCATCAATACTGAAAACGTAGGCACAATCGGGCACGCTATTTCCATTCGTGTCCGGTAACCCGAATGCTGAGCCCTAAAGCCAGCCCCTTCTCCCCTGTTTATATCATTTGTAATGACCTTGACCTTACAATATGGTAATCATTGTGAAGACCTTAATGGGAGTGCAAAGAGAGGAAGGTTTTAGAGCGTCCGAGAATTCTAAATCCGAATAGAACCCTTCAGACCTTTAAAAGTGGATTGCTTTCCTCCCCCTCTACCCTCCAGCACATTCAGTGAGAATTTCTGATTGTTGCTTTGTTTAAGAGGTCATCACAAAGGTAATGAAGTTTACAGCATACCCAGGGAAATTTGCTTACCTTAACACGTCATGAAATACAAGTCTATGGGGACGGTACTCACCATTTTGACTCGGTTCCAATGAAACCTCATGCCTTAAAAGGTCTGTTGGGCGTGGTGAATGTGCTTTGGGCTAATCGGCCTTAAGAATAAACCTTAACCCATGGGAATGACAGAGGATATTACCCCAAAAAAGGGGCAAACAAATTTGATCCTGGTGAGAAATCACAGGTGACGACATGCCATGTTGATGAAAAGGAGTTGGCAATGCCTTAGTCTCGTGAGTTAAGACAATTTAAGAGGAGCTTTGCCAGTTGATGTTGTTGTAGGTAATATGAAAGCCGACCAAATGAACAGAAGGCCTGAAAGACTACCCACTTTTCTTTTTCTCATTTCTGTGCCCTTTGTTTAATAAGCAATTTGTTGGACAGGCGAAGATATCATCGGAGACTGCCCAAACGATCCACTGGTTACTCACTCCACACTTCAAAGGTAGGCGTCAGTTCAGCCCACGGAAGACCGTCTACAAGCAGTGCAGATTCAAAAGCTCATCTATCCACTGTCAACCAAGTATGCTGGAGATCTATCATCCACTTGATGAAACTGGATGGTATTCCATAAAATATTTTACAGAAAAGACCAAAAAGAGTCACCGCCTTGGTGAGGAAGAAGTCCAATGCTTCCAGGACAGAGAAAGAGGGGTCGAAGGGGTCTCTAGTTCCATAATTTTCTCAGGAATTCGCCTCGAAACTATTTCTGCGTTAAAGTAGTGGACTTAAAATGCACCAACCAATCGTAGAAAGTACTCGAAGGGAAAATCAGTGGTGGCCACTTTTAAGCCTCTAATATGTGTTCTGTTCGACCACCGTCCAGCGCCACCACTCGATAAGACCTCCCTTCCAACACATCTACCGAGGCGTTTTGAGAACACAGCGCAATGAGTTAGAGGAGTGGTTTGATTGAAGAGACCTTCACAGTGAATGAAAAGACGATTTAGGCAGAAATAACAGCATCAAACCACCTTGACCTCGACCATAAAGTCACCTACAAAGTAAAAACAAATCTTGGAATTTGTTTTTCTTAGCGGTCAAGTAATCATACTGCCGGAAAAGTGCAAATATTCACTTGGAACCAAAGGAATCGCAGGTTCGCATGACCTTTTGACCCCATTTCAAGAGGTCCACGTGATGCTAATTTGCGCTATTTTCCTTTTCCTCTTTTGAATGGAAACAACAACAAGTCCTGCCCTATAAATTTGTCTCGCGGTCCACGGAGTTTGCAAACTGCTCCACGGTTGGTGATGAAGTTACTCTCCATCGGCGCCCTTCTCGCACTGCTCTTCTGCGTCTCTTTAGTGGACAGCAAGGTAGGTCCCCTCCACTGAAGTAAAGGCCCTCTCTCCACCTCTTCCTCGTGTGGTAATACGTTAGGTGGGGAAATAAGATCAACACAGTGGAGGTAGCATTAGGCCCTCAGAGAAGTGCCACTTATTCCTTGACTCACTTCTCCACGATCTTCCTTGAAGTGGGAGGAGGGAGGGAGTGACCGCCCAATTAGCCTTAGCGGCTTCTTGCAGTTCTTTCTTCGTTCAGTCTTTTTCCAAATGGCCTTCTCTACATCTAGAGAATTTGATTTTTCCTTTTCTACTCCCCATTGCTGGATGATAGGCTAGGCGTTAAACCGAGCCTCACACGCCCCAGTTGTTTTAGGACCTTCTTTAGCTTCCGAGAATGGACGATTAATCCATTTGCTGTAAAATTTTCTATCCCCGGTAAAACAGGAGATTTAGCTCCCTTCTTTGCACAAGTTATTCAGTCTCCCCAAGAGATAGAAAGCATGGGCTGTTTTAGGGGCTGGTTTTCCCCATAATAATGGACCAGTGAACACCGATGACTTGATCTGCTATTACTGAATTGTATCACTGAGTTCAGGGGGAACAACTGTGTCCGCAGATTATCATCCATCCACACACAACGGCAACAACCCCAAACCCACCTCGGCCATGCCTTTAGGGTGTCTCTTTCCCCACTTTCTTGATGGTGCTAGGCTAGACAACCGCCTCTATACTTCATCTCAAAGAAGTTTCTTTTCTGATAAGGTGAGAGAAGCAGCTTGTGAACGATAGAGCTCAGCATCCCAAATCTGTATACGTCGATCCTCTACCTCTGTCACCTTAGAGGAGTTTGATTTTTTACGACCTGTAAGTTGTCGAACAGGAAGAAGGCAGTTCTTCCCCACACCAACAGTTTAGTGGGTGAATACTCACAGTATCTTGTTTTGTATTATTTAGCGAAGTCCAGACACGGACACTAGTGAAGACGCGCTTGACCATGGTCCGAAATTTTGCTTCAATAAGGAAGGTGAGTCGACGAATACTCTCACATGCTGTGTGTGTAGATATGAAGATAATACAACTGCATCTCTACCAACACATCAACGAGCTCTTTATGCTCCTCTATGAGTGCAAGAAGCGGGGTATCCCAGCAACCGAGTGTTACTTCACCTTGGATGACCACGTCAGCGAACCACATCGTGAGAGGCCATACGAATCGGGTAATGAGGCTCCGCCTGGCTCAACAGACTATCGAACGGACCAACCGTATATATTACGACCGTATCCCCACTTGGGAAGGAGGCCTCCTTTCCCCCCCAACTTGCACATGCGTGGATTCCATAGGTCCTTCCATTCATCTGGAGGGACAAATGAACCGCAGCCCTTCCATCACCCTGGGGAACAAAGGCCACCTCCACATCATCCATTGCCTGAACCACCAAACCACACTCTATCCACTAATTTCCAAGGCAATCATTCCTTCCCGTCTTTTCAAAGGAGAGGCTACAAAAATTATCGAGGGAATCGACGACCTTCCCACATGAATACAGAAGCTAGAAATGTTTCTTCGGAATATGAGTGGCATGTATCTGTGGGTTCAACTAATTTAACACATCCTGAGCAATAGACAATCACTGGAATGGAATTAAAGACCATTCTATACTAATAAATTGCCATTTAAGATCGATATCTCTTTCAAAAATAAAAGCTTAATATGAGTTGCTTTCTTACGAAATTGTACGGCTTTCAGGTGCGACGTTCAAGCCAAACGGGGATTTGATGTTTTTTTTTCGCTTATTTTACCGTAGCAATGTCTCACTCTGTTTTACGTGACGGCGCAGGCATCTCATCAGCCACCGGTAGTTGGAACTCACATTCCGCACAATTCGAATCAGACACCGCATACATCGAATGATGGCCCTTGAGAATGAAGATGCAAAACGTGTGGACCTCGACGCGTGTATGAAACTTCAAGCACAGTTTACACAGTAATGAGAAGCTAAGTTAAAGCAAGACATTTGATGGCATGTTACTCGAGAGGCAGCTCACCTTACTGCTTGTCGTTGGCCGCCCGAGGCCACAGACCGGCGGCCATTGCTATGACCAATCAGCACTTGCATCCCCTTGTCACTAATGGCAGAGGCAAAAGCTCCCTTGAAATTATAAAATGAGCTCAATCTTCCCTCTTTTGTAAGCTTGAGTCCCTTTGAGAAAGGATTACAGAGGGTAATGGTGATTACTTTACTAAATGATATATTTTGAGAAGCTTCCCACAGTTACCTAACTTCATCAAGGAAATAAAGCCCATTAGCTTATTTGGCTGTCACATGAATTTGACGAAAAAAGTTCTATTTATTTCCAGAAAATATCTTTTTTTAACAGTAAGAATTTTACCCAAGTCAAGAAACTTCCCAAAATACCTATTAATGCCTTTCCGTTGTGAAGATACTACCTACTTAATTCACATAAGCGTACTTCACTAGCGTTGACAGGTACATAATTAATGTTGTCTTGATTTAGAGTTAAAAAATGAGGCTCCCAATTTTACAGCCTTGACAATAAATGCTTCACTTTGGATGAAAGATCTCCTGGTGGCAGACTTAACTGCCTTGACATTCAGGGAGAGATTTGCTGCGAGTGAAGTCGGTTGAACGAGTCACGCCTACACCTCAACCACAACGAGGCGTTGGATGAATTACAGTGGACGGCTGGACGAGATCGAAGAGGCCACCAAAAATTCACATTCTGAGGGGATTGCTCCCCCTTTTTGGCAGTGAATGGTGCGAATGGCTGGAGATTGCTCCGCAACGAGCACTTTCTTCAAGTTAATCACGAGTGGACTTCCACTTCAATGGGATTGGGCTCCTCTCTTATCACACCAGCAGTCTGTCAGGCCTTCTGCACGTCAATGACGGTTGATTTTACACTCATACTTCTAGTGTCGTCTTCAGAAGCAACGTGGCGTTGCACTGGAAGGACACACTCAACGACCTTTACCTCTTGAGGCAAAAAAGAACACACTCACCGATATTTCAGAGGGGATTTATGAAAGAATGGATCAGACTGCTAGTGTTGGGAGGAAGGCATCTCTGTGGATGGACGGATTTGCACAGGCGTGTAAAGAAGCGAATTCCGCATCTAACAAGTTAAGGCCATCCACACAAGGCATTACAGCAAACGCCAACTACGATAACGAAAATCAGACACTGCCTGAGCAGCATTAAAATGACAATGGGATGTAAAGGAGTAAAGTTCGGACAGGCCGCTTAATCTCATCAAATAGGCGTTTTTTGTACCTAAACGTTCCTCCAAATGACGACGCTTTAAGGTAATCTATGAGAAATCTCCAGCCTCCTCGATTCAGACCACCACCTCGGTGCCGAAGCTTTCGTATTAATGGGTCACTCACCCTTCTGTCCAGGCTCACTCGTCCCACAACGCCTTCGGAACTGGCTCTGGAACTACAATGACGACAGCGACAACCGAATCCACCTCGAGTGAGATATAACGTTTAAACGCCAGTGCAGAAAACCACCTCCTGCGAGCGGTTAGATCCGCGTTGACTTACAACGGAAGGGCTATAGAAGCGGTAATCACCTTTGGTGATCATCTATAAACAAAGAGGCCGGAGCATACCAGCACTCCGAAGTCCATTATGAAGCAGCCTGGAAAATTTGTACGATAATATCCGAGTTATTAAGAAATGTGCCTTCTCATCTGTGCCAAAAAGCATTAAGAGTTATTCAGATAGACAGTCGAGCAGACGTGGAGGGGAACGATCACAGAACGTGTTAGATGGTTCTACCACCAAGCACGAGCACTCGGGATCACTGACTGACCTGTAACATAACCTCACCATAGTAATAAAAAAGTGTTTGAGTGAATTCTAGCACTTCAACTACAGCTGAATCAAACACTTCCAGACTGATCAATTTAGTTTGTAGGAGATGGGAGACCCCACCCAGCAGAGACGCCCACCAACTCCACAGAAGCATCTCAACTGGAAGGAGAAATATGGGAAATAATTTTCAAAAAAGTTTCGAGAAATTGGATATCACAGTAATTTGATTTCTGAAATAGCACCTCTGCACAGCGGACAGTGAAGGCATTGGGAGGAGGCCTGAAAACTAGGGAGACACTTTTTACACATTGCCACGTGTCGACAGGGCACGAAGACGACATCGGCTGTGCCCTCCGCCAAACAAATAACGCAGTCTGGCCATCTCTTCTGCTCCCCATCCCCGTTTTCACTTCCATTCGTAAACAATTTCTAGATTAAAAAAGCAATTCAACTGAATAAATCCACATAGCGAATTTCCGGGCAATGGTTTGATAAAATTTCTCACTTGAATACAGATGAGTCGATCATGATTAGTTTTGCAGTAAGAGTAGAGAATTTGCGTCGGTCTGCGCTCCTCCTGATGTTGTTTCACGTGAACGATATAGAGAGATAAAACTACCTGCTCGTCTTGCGTTTTACCTTCTAGAGCATCCTCATCAAGGAAAGCGAATACGAGGTCATACGAACGTCGAAACTCGTTAATATTGACTTGCTCCTCATTAGTCCTCACGGAAATGTTCTGATTATCAATAGAGACTTCCTCGGCGGCTGTATCTCGTAGAAATCGCAAAAGCTCAGTAGTAGGTGCAAGCATGGCATTGTGAAAGGTAATCAATGGAACATTGCGAAGGAGGAACATGGAGACGCTCTTACGAAGGGATAAAGAGAGACTTAGAGATCCCTCAGTCTCCTTATGGGTGACCTTGGTAATAGCCGCGAAGTTGGTAAGTGGGGAAACGGTTTCGATGGAGGGCTTGAAGGTTTTGGTATGTAAAAGCTCCCTAAATACATCGTTGATGGTGCGCCGGAGGAGGAAGATCAGGACACCGAAGAGAGTGTAACAGAGGAAAGTTAGTATGGCGCAGATAGCAAGCCAGAAGTTGAAATCCTCTGAGTTGGGTTCAGACTCTTCATCCATCCTATTCCTTAGGGGTAAAACACATGAAATTAAATAAGATGGGTTGATGCAGAGAATTGGGATGGCAAAGTATAATCAACGGAAATCAAATGCCATTTAGTAATTAAAATATGCGCAACAACTTGCAGCACATTTCTCGGCAGCAGGACAAATTACCACCAGAAAGACATTTAACATGAAAACGAATTCGTCCCAATGAAGTGGTTCATGTAGAGTTACGGAAATATAGAAGCAAGTAAGGAACCAGAGATGCAATTAGGACAAAGCGGTCTTTACAGAACTCGACAGTATAAGGCCATAGTTTTCCAAATTGATCAAATGTAACACGACTATTGGAGTTTCAAAATGAGATTATCACCTTGTTATATCCTAAAAAGTATGAATTTCAAGCAGGAGTCATTTGATTCTTAGAGCCAAACAAGGATCAAGTAGGGCATAACAGTGCAAAAATATCAGCCTCACCTAATCATAATCAAAGTTTCTAGAGTGGAATAAATACTACGCTTTATCAGAGTAAGAATGCCCGCTATGGGGTTAATTACACTGAGCATCCAGGCTACCATATTGCAACCGGTTATAAACAGGGCCCAAAGCACGCGCATATATACGACAAAACAGAAAACAAATAAGTATTCCATTTTAATGACGAAAAATGAAAATGACATAATGATGAAAAAAATGACATAAACGGCATATGCTCCTGGACGCTCCACGCACTGCAGAAGCGACGCCCACTCAAGTAGAGTGGTATTATTCAGACAAACATAAACAAAGCCTGCCTAAAAAAACAATGCAATTTGCTTTGTGCCGAACAATAATTTTTTGCTTTAAGGCGCAAAGTTGCATTTTAATTTTTTTGCGGCTTTGAATAAATTTGCTTAGGTTTTATTTAAATGAGCTTGATTTCTTTCTTATATGAAGTAAGCAAGTCGAATGCTTAACTGATTATAAATCCTACTAAATGGGAGAGCAATCACTTTCTAATTTAAAATTTTACACATTAGTGCACTTAAGTAAACTAATATCTTATGCACTGAAACGTCATCTTCATCCAGTTTAGTGAAATAAGTTGGTTGTTTGTTTACCCTCTGTTTTGGCATAGTTAATACTGCGATGCTCCTGTAGCTCCTCGAGACTTCCCCCAAGACCAAAAAGACGTAATACTCAAAAAGATTATATATGTTCAGCACAGAGAAGGTATTTGGTCTACCAGTATGACCTGAGGACCAGCCCACCCGGTGTTGTACAAAGGTTAAGCCAAAAGTGGATCCTCGTCAATACCGCGGGAGAAACAACCATCAAACTGCACTTCACCACAGTACCTTTACCTCGTGTGCTGCCCTTGAGCGGTGACAATAGCCCCAAGTCCTACTACAAATCGCATGTCTTAATAGTACGTCTTCTTTCGCCTTCAGGGAAGCCTCGGAGCGCTATACGACAATCTCAACAATTTCTTTCTCTTTCTTACATTGATTTGACTGCTCATTATAAAAGTGATTATGTCGGGAAATATTGTAGGCAATTAGAGCCCATATACTATCCAAACGATCCATAGATTTATCGCCGGGTCATATCTCATTGGAAAGAGAAAGGGCACAAGTGAGATATCCAAACCGAAACCTGTATATCTCAAGAAGAATGAATCAAATTAATAAAATCACCTACACAAGCATAGAAATAAAGACGGACTGCAGTGGACACAAGAAAAGATAGAAAATCATAATTCAGTCACAGTGCTTCCTGCACGCATGTAGCCTTCCCCAGTGTGATTTGTATATACAGCGTTCCGTTTCTCAGATACGGTGATGGTCTACAAAGGCGTGAATGCACCAACGACCTCAGTCCAATATCGGGCAATCCCCATCCCACCTGGTTGCACGACATCCGCGTAGGTCTTTGCCACACCTCCCTCTCATCTTCGTCGTTCAAATAGGGTCTCAGCACTCGCACAATGTGATTCCCTGCTCCCGTCTGATCCAAGATTGAAAAGTAAATATCCGACGAGAAGGGCCACGACAGACAGTCATCATAGTCTCCTGGCACCAGTTTGATGTAGATGCCAAAGAGATATGTAGTAAATTCCAGCTTGGCTTGCATTCGGTATCCTGGCTGGCCCAAGTAAAAGGGTTCACACCACTCACCTCCATTACATTCTTCCAATTGGGCGAAATTTGCAATTCGCCAAATGTGCCAGTTTCCGCAGGATGCCTGCTCAACCGGAGGACAGGGGAGCGGACATGCTGGAGGACACGGTGCGGGACATGGCGGGCATGGCGGACAGGCCGGTGGGCATGGCGGACAGACTGGCGGGCATGGCGGACAGACTGGTGGGCATGGTGGACAGGTAGGAGGGCACGGAGGACAAACTGGTGGGCATGGCGGAGGACATGGTGGGGAGCATGGTGGAGGACAAGGGGGCGAACATACAGGAGAGCAGGGTGGGCAGGGAGCACACACAGTTGCACACACCGGTGCAGGCACACATCCTAAGCTCGCCTTCGGTTTAAAAGTGGTAGCTTTCACTATCGGGGTGCACTTTACCGCCGGCGTGGGGCAACAGACACACATCCCAGAACATTGACGGGTGCAGACAGTAGGACAAGGGGTTACAATATTACCATTACACGCCCATAATTTGAAGTCAATGTCAAGCTTAAAATCCTTGGCCAGATAGGCACATGCCACCTGTGATTGACCACACTCATCAAAGATTGATATCATTGGCTCTCCCGTGGCACAATCCGCCTGGATACGGATGTACTTCGCAGTGGGCATGGTATTGCTATTCTCGCCCTGTTTGACGCATTCAAAGTCCACGCTGGAGCGGTCGAGATCCGTGGAAATCATAGTTCTTTTGTTCTTTAATTGAGCATTGTTATTTCTCACCAGGCATCTGCCTTTACCACTCTGGTGTCCAAGAGGCAGTGACAAACTAAGAATTGAGTTCTCATCAGTGTCATCTACTCGCAAAAGCTGGGCAGCTAAGGCTGTAGAACCCATTCCGCGTCGTTTTGTGAGGTTAATAAAAGAGGCCAATTTTTCCAGATCACGTTGAATGTCTTCCTGTTGAGGGGGGAGCTTCCAACACGATTGAGTGGATTCGGAGGCGTCAGAGGGAACACTTGCCACAGGTGTCCCTTTATTGGCTTCTTGAAGGGATGCCATTGCCAAGTCAGTGGGGTTAAAAAAGGCGACCTCGCTTTATCTGCTGCAATGGTGGCGCGGGTATCGATTTTCCAGTTGTCATACCTGTCTGACACGGCAGCCAATAAAATCACGTGGAGGAGTGACGTGGTCTATTGTCAGGTCAACGCGCTTCAACTCAGGGGATGGGAATGAGTTGATGTTGCTTTTATGTCGTCATTTGGGGTAACTCAGTCAACAGGAATGATTTACAAAGTGTGGTACACTCGGCTGTTTTTCTTCACTAACTTTGCAAATGACAAAGCAATCCTGTCGTCAGGGCTTTTTGAGATTTTATGAGTTAAACCTAGGCAATATTAGATTGTTTCTGGAATTTTTTAATTTTCTAACGAATTAAGCTATTTTATTTGGCTACTACGGGACTAAAAAAGCAAAATGGAATAAAGTAACATGTTTGCTTGATTTGTCCTTACCTAGAACAGAAAAAAATCCGGGAAAATGTTGTTTTAAAAGGTTATCGAGAAGTTGGTAATTGAAAACGGTTTTTGTGGTTAGTTCCTCACCCTTCCAGTCCCTAAATTTAACCAGATTTACTCATTTACGGGCCCACGAAATCTGATTGGCCTTTTTAAATTTTCGCCGTCAACTAGTCCACTAATATAAACAAATTTACCACTTGCATGAAACGGGACTGCCAATTTCGTATTTGTCTGCTCATCTAGTTATCCGCAACAAATTTGTCGCCCACTCCATTCTGGGGCCTGTTTTGCCTACTCGACGGCTCACCCGACCACTCATTGGTCCATCCGTCTTATCAAAGAACATTGCAGAAATTCACGCCTGTCTACCCTTCTCAGTATCATTCCTTCATCGCCTTTCTCTAATTTTCTGTCTGAAGCATCAACAATCCACCTACTAATGTGCATCTTCATCGGTGCGTACCGCCGACTTTTCTTCAAATCACCCATTAAGTTCTCCTTTTATCCGCACAGTCATCAGTTTTATTTGTCACCCCCGTCTCGAGTTTAGTTACTTCAGATCTACTAAAGCACCGCCGTGGAATCCTCTTAACACTCTTTATGGCTGCTGAAGCATCGGTAAGTGAAAGCTCAAACGGGAACTTTCCAGTCCTAATGGAGCCCTCCAGCCATTCATTCTGGACCTTGACTATCTACTTGTCAATCCGTCCAAGCCTTTCAGTCATACTTCCTATCACCCACCAATTTCAAATTTGTCCGCCACTCCTTAATCTGCTACCCATCTCTTTGTCGACTGGTTCATCCTCTTGTCTGTACGTTAGTTTCGTCATTCATCCACCGACTGTTAACCCTTCCCACTCATCACTCTCATGTGGATTTAAGTCTCCATCCCTACTCTGTTTCTCCTCCATCCACTCCACTCATTCACCAGTTTTTTTGCTCCAGTAAATTACCTGACAAGAGGTCGCCTCTGAATCAATCCATCTATTCGTCAGTGTGTCCACCCACTTGTCTACTTATCCTTCCATCCATTAATTTGGCCATCCTTTCTCCCTATTTAGAGACCAACCTCAAAACGCCAATTGCCTTCCCCGCCCCCTCCACCATCCCCTCCTCTAATGTTGAAGACACACTCAAGTATCAATGATATCTATCATCTATGTATAACTCAAAATCACACATTCATCATCATCGTCATTGTCGGACACAAATACACACACACACGACTGCATGGCAGGTGGTAGTAGGAGTGGTGGTGGTAGTGGTAGGAAAAACAACAACAGCATGCTCCAATGCTCCGTGCCTACGAATATAAAATGGGTGAATGCGTGTAATAGGAGGAAGGGGAAGAGAGAGAAAGAGAGAGAGAGAGAATAAACGAATTAGATATGCGACTGGTTATTGGTGGTGGGCGTACTCCCTCCTCTCCTCATACATCGGATGTGAGCTCTAGCTCGGAGAGCGAGCCAAAGGAGGTGGTGAGGATGCTGCTGCGGCCTCGACACGACACGCCACCACTGCTGCCCGAGGGGTGATTGAGTTGGAGGCTGGAGGCGGGTCGGCTCATTCCTGATGTATTTTTTTGCTACAAAATGCCAAATACAAATTTTCGTCTGGAATTTATTGTGCGCCAGGCTGTGGGGCTTAATAAAAGGTGCGTGGCCAAGGCTGCGCAACAGTCACTCAAAACTAGAGGGCTGACTGGCATGCGTTTGAGCTGCACTGTCAGGTAGCATTGCCGCTGTCGGACAGAGGACCTCGTTTGAGTTGAAGCCGTGGAAGGATTATAAATCCCAGTTATTTTCAGTTTTGTGGAAGTTTGACGTTTTAAGAACAGTGCAGTTGATGACTGCGCCTCATAGTGGACGCAAGATCCAAGAGAGTTTTGAAGCGTCTCTCCAGTCCCTAGGTTACCATCAGAAGCAAGTTGGTTTTATCAATAAAGAATACATTGTCATGAAAAGCCTCAACATTTGCTGGGTTTGCTGAAATAATTAACATTACGAGGGAGTGGGCAACATCTCACTCATCTTCAAGCGGGTAGGAGGGGACTTAACTAGTCTTGAAGGACACAATTTGGACTTTCTTCCAACCCTTCCATTGGTTGCGTTGAGATCTATCGAGCAGATAGGTGGCAGGTGAAATTCCTCAACCTCCACTTCGTAGGGAATAACTCGGATCAAAGCCTATCACGCACAATCCATGCACAGCCGTCCGAACATGAACGTTCGCACCACAAGTGTGAAGTGTGAACTGTACCTTGGGTGGATTGTTTAGAGATGAAGAGTGATTAGTGTGGTCCCTTGCCTAACAGGGGAACATGAGTGCCTTAAGTCCCCCTCACCGCGACGCATTAATTCATCCACCCACTAACTGGATGTATACTGCTTGCCTCTATAACGTGGCGAAATAAGGGGAAGAATAATGCGTTGAAGGCAGTCTTCCACGGTGGCACCATCTAGCCTAGCTTCCGTCATCACCTACCCTTCCCCGTTAATGTAGGTGCGTAGCGATTGCATCTTCATCACCAGCACTAAGTACTACTGAATTATCTCAGTAGTTTCGAACACGTCCATCTCCAACTACTGACGTGACGTGAGGAGCTTTAGATTGACAGATTGACATAATGCACCAGTGTATCAATACCTTGTGGTGCACGCATTCGACAGGTTAATACAAGCTACACCAACCCGCCGTAGCGAGCCGCATCGGAAAGTACGCCAGCCTTTTGATTACTTGGTACAGAGGAACTGGTTGAATAGTTGGCTGTCCTTTCAGACCGACTAAGCCGAGAGGGAGCACAACACCAGTCGTTGCTTTAATACCATAAAAACTGGATAGAGACAACTTCTAGGACAGGAACTTCGTTAAATGAGATTAATTGAACAAATTTTATGCATTTGCTAGCCCGAATACAGCGCTGGTACATCGGCTACGCCGATAAAACTAATTTATTTGTTACACCCCTACTTGGAAGCAAAATTCACTTTCAAGGCGAAAGGTACTAATGTCTCTTCGTCAATTCGCTTGTATCGAATGGATCCATCCATCCCATCTTCATTAACACTCCCATCGACTCACCTATCTATCCCACTACTTTGTATCGATGCATCAATTCATCTTCTTTTCGTCTGCCACCTCTGCATCCATCTCACAACCACCTACTCATTCATCTACTCACCTGTCATTTTAAGAATTCATCTACTTATCTTTCATGAAAGCCGAATCTTGGTAGCTTGATGGCCAACTTGAAATAAACACTTTCTAAAGTTTACACGCTTAACACTTCAACTCACTGTCTGGCTGGACGATGCCAAAGAGAGACGCGAGAGACTTGTAGTGGAGGCAAACTGCGGTCTCCCCTGCAACGAGGGTCGGGAGAATTTTGGAGGTCTACTGGCGTCCTCGTGAGATAATCCACGGAGAGAGACGGGGGCGGGGGTGGTGATAGTGGCGGTGGATGGGGTGGTTGTTGTGGGGGTGGTAGTCTCATCTGTTACCTTGACTCGAATGACGTCCTCAGAGAAGAGACTGGCGGGATTGTGTAGTGTCGCCTTAGCTGTCGGATCGGCTGCCAGCATGCTGGCCTCTAGAAGGCGTGACTTCATTTCCAGTTCGGCTATCTGGCAGTTGTGACGAATCTCTTGAGTCTATAAAAAGGTGGAATGAATCAGTGAATACCTCTAGCCTATCCCTCCCCTCATTAAAAAAGGATTTCATAGAACCTTTAGATTTATCTGATATGTATAGGACTCGGATTTCTAGCGTTTATTTGTCATTTTTTTCGGCTAATACATTTTAAACTCTTCCATACATCTATAAGCGACGCAACCTTAGATTCTGAGGATTGACGACAGTGCGAATCAGCGCTAGAAGCAGGATGAAAGCTGTGAGATATGATTGTTGTGGCGTGTACAACATTGACTGACGTTTTCCACTCCCAGGTGGCACTTGACGTTCCACTGTTAACTTCACCCCAGTAACATTTTCAAAATAGAATACGATCGCAGTCGTACATTACATTTGACTTCGAGGTCACTTCGCAACTGAGGTCAGATATCTGACCTGGGAGAAAAGTGCACCACTGTCTTGAAAATGTCCTTTGATACCGGATCATCTGCATTTTCGGAGTTGGATTTGGGGGACAGGTTAAAAAGCTCATGAAGTTTGCAAGCACCAACTCCATCCAAGGCTTTCAATATATTTAAGAAAAGCATCTTATGTCATAATGAATAGAATTAATCAAAACTAGTCCACTTTTGACCATCATCTGGGAATTGAAGCTCGCAGATAGCCTGTGGCATAGTCTAAACACGTAGAGTATATCAACGACAAATCCCGTAACATGTGAATTTAGAATCCTTAATTATATCTTTTAAGGTCTTTAAAATTCCCAAAATAAATGTTCATATGATTTTGTTATCTTTGTTTTTTTCGGTCTATAGAAAAGCACTTTAAAGCTTGTCTTCATATCCGGCAGGAAACATCATCAAAACCTCTCTTGGAGAGGGAAAATTTGTACTAAAATGCAACTAGTCAATCAACCTTTTACGATTTTGCATTAGCTACAGAAGTCGAGATTGAGTTCGCCTACCCAGATTTCATACATTCAGAGGAAAACTGGAAGATGCGCATGCCAGATGGACTGACTAGGCGGAGGATAGTGGGAAAGAGAATTCACGAATCCTTACAGAATAACGACGATAAGAGGTCTGGGCAAAATGCCTGATTAATCAGGCGGGTCATGAGTTTGGTGTGTCAATTTGACTACAACATAATAACTAGTAAGATAAGTGACTCATTTAGAGTTTACAATTTAAGTAGCCTGAGTTTATGAGGGCGACATGGCATTTACAAGCCATGACACTTTCACCTTTTCCAAAAAAGTGGCGGCATTCAAAATGCGCCTTTTTACTTTCACCATTAAAGGTTAGGGTTAGAACATAAATGGGCGTGGTGCTGTCTTTCAAGGAGTCTCTTTACGCCTTTACTTTGTCTAAGCCCAGATTTACCTGATTAAAAAAATTGGCAATGACAACACCCTTATTTAAACAATCTCGTAAATCGGTGAACTGTTGCCCTTTCGGTATTTTATGCCTTTGAAGGAAGGATTAAAAGGTGGCAAGTGAGGGCGTCAAACGAGGGGCCAAGATGGCATTCTATTGATGATTAGGCCAATGCACAAAGACAGGGTTCAATTATAACTACTGAGTGCTGTGAAGAGAAGGTGAATTCGTTGCTGATATTCTTCCGTTGGTTGCTTCCACACCTTCGACAGAAAAGTTTGTTGACTAGACAGACCTAAATTTTGCATTTCTACATGCATCGAGAAACTCACAGCACTACTTGACTACTGCCAATGCGGTCATCATGAAATTGCGAAGTGAATGGAAGCAGACAGATGAAAGAAGCAGTTAGGATTTCGTGACGGGATCACTTTCCAGACATGCATAAATGCTAGTACACGATACGTCAAAAAAGGGATGCATACTGCTACCCCAATGCAAATCTTTTTTTTACAATTTCGGAACATGATCTCTCTTTTTAGTTTGTTTCAAATTGGAACACGACCTTTTAAAAATCAAGCTGCAGACCTTTTTCTCAATAAAAGTAGCCTCGGAGTCCACCTCAAACACAAACTTATTCACCAGGGCTGATTCTAGAGAGAGAGATCATACCGAGCAGTATCAAAGTGAAACACAAATGAGGTGTTGCAGAGTGAAACGAATATTGAATTAAGAGGCATTTTTGGATGCAAAATTGCGCAAAATAGTGAAATATTTCGGAAGACATTAGAAAGCTTGTACTTTAAGGCGGAAAGTATCACAGAAATGTATTCGGCTAAGTCATGAAAAAGTACAAAAATTATCCAAATAATGAATCGCCGTAACTAGTACCCGAATCACGAATAATCTTTTTATAAATGAGAAATTCTGTGCCATTCTCTAGGCAAACATAGTGGGTTTTTATTAAGTAAGAAATGGTCTAAAAGTGGCAAACTATATTGGTACTGGAGCTGCTAGCCTACCGAACCACATAGCCAACATGGAAGGTTCTTTTTAAAAAAGAGGGAGTCTGAGAAAAGGAGCCCACCTCAGCTTCAAGTTGGAAAACTCGTTGCTGCCAGTTGCGTAGATCGTTCCGAAGCTCGCGCTCCTGACTCAGGAGGCGTTCAATCTCCTTCTCCTTCTCATTCATCCTCAACTCCTGTTCATTCTGTCGTCGGGTGAGGCCTTTGCAGCGTGACTCTACCTTTCGAACCTGCCGGTAGGGAAAGCAAATGTAACCTGCAAAGCAGGAGAGCTGAAACTGGTTTTTCAATTGTCGTGATACTGCTAGGTTTTCTTTGGGATCTCGAATTTAGACAAATGTGTTGTTTGATAATAATCGTTTCCAAAGTGAAAAGCCACTTTTAGCTACATACATCTGTGAGTGGGAAGAACAAGTCCTGTTTCTTTTTTATTATTCAACAAAGCATTCTGATACTCCCTTTTCTCTCTACCTCATTTTATCTGAGTAATGAATGATAAAACAGATCTAAGAGTGGTCCATTGGTGGTTTGATTTGCCTCTTGAGTGTGTATCTGTTATTTTTTTTTAAAAAAAAAAACATTTTTTTTGACAACCCCATGCTCTTTTAGGAGTGGCGGTAAACCCTTTTCACTACTGATAATGCCAAGCTGGTATTGGATTCAGGCCATTCACTTTTCGCATTTGGCGATTACATGGTTTTGCAGTTTTTTATTTTTTTATCGAGTGATTTTCAATCCCCTTAAAAATGGGTTATTTATTGAACCGACCAGCCGTCCTCTCATTGAACCTCTCGATGTCTAAAACCAAATTAGCAGTTCATTGTTGATGACAAGGCCGCGTGATCATAGGCTTGATATCCTTTCCACAAAGACAGGCTTTTCAAAACTCTCTTATTTCAAAACTGAAATAAGACTACTTTTTGTGAATATCACCCACAGCAAATCACTTTTCTCCCTCTGTTTTTTAATTTACGTGGAACATTTATCGCTGAGAAAAGCGTAAATTTTGCCATCCTTGATGTACAAGCACACTGGTGACTAGTAATGACTTTACCTATCATTCATCCCTCCTTCCGTATTACATAAGGTTAAGGAAATGAGCACATCTTTTAGCACCAAAAGTGTTCAAAATCCTTGATGAATGACTTATCAATGAAACCAAAGAGGAACTTTTTTGCCTAAAGAAATTGTTTTTCATACCTTAAAGTAATTAATTGACCAGAAGATTTTTGACAGTAAAAAGCATAACCGCTTAACTTAATGCTCTCGAACGAGAAGGTCTTGTCACTTCTACGCCGCACAATACCAGGTAATGTGGTTCATAAGCAGGCATGATGGTGATCAAATGCGCAAGTTTAACAGTAAAACTGTGAATATTTGAAAACTATTGGATGGATCCTTTGCAAAAACGGATTGAAATGGTAAATATTTGGAGGGATTTGTACGATTTAAAAGCAAAAAAGGGAAGTGTTGGTAACCTGCAGCAGGTATGGCACTCAAGCGATATTAAAAGCTACACTTTTATAGAAAGGGATGATGCACAAGGAACGGAACGGTTGTTTGAATTACCAGTGAAATGTTTTTGTGGCCATTTAAAAGGAATTTCAACAAGTTTTGGAAACTCATCTATCAAATGCTTCACTTTAGGGATTATTTTGACAATCAAGCCATTAGAATAGCATTGCTTGACATGCTAAAAAATAAGTCATTACATAAAAAGCAGGTGCACTAGAAATATTCTCGATGCGCATTCCCATTGGTCCTTCACTTCGACCAGTCAACTGCTCACGCCGTCAAGGTCATTTGAGGGACGAGATTGTAAAAGGGCTGATCACTTTGTCACCGATGTTACGACACTTTTGCGTTCATTTCCAGGACATCCTTTGACGTGAATGCAATTAACAAAACTTCGTTTATCTCACATGTGATTATACAAGCTCTCTCTCTCAGTGTGACGATGAATTAGCATAATTTACATGGGACGAAATGCTTTTAATAGTATACTACCATGACAACGCAGTAAACACTCAAACATCACTAAATAGTTTAATATAAGTAAACATCTGACTGTTTAAGCGAGAAATTTACCTGCAAGGTAATTCCTTTCTCTGTTGTTTTCGTATTAATTTTGCTTTGCTTTTGGCATTGAAATCATTTTATTTCTTCAAGCAAAACACCAACGTCAAGTCAGCGCTTAGGGATTTTACTTAATCTTGAATCTGGCCTATAAGCTATTTTCTTTGCAAAAAAGAGATGTGACAACTAGCATGTCAAAAAGAGGGGACTTCAAGTTGGATGATACTGGAAAAATCAAACATTCGCGGGAATGATGAATGTAAGCTCGTGAAGCTTAATATTGGACGAAGGTGTTATGTCACCCAATGCTAACTTTGAAATAGAAATGGGGGAAGGAGGTGCGAATGGTGACAGAGGTACAAGTAGACTTAACCACCACTGCTAGAGGGGAAAATAGTGCCACAAAAAGAACTAAGTATATTTTAATCCAAATTTAAGCTTTACACAGCAAAAAAACTACAGAATGGGTGCTAAACTTGGCTGAAAATTGCTATTTGAACTCTTGATTGTCAGTAAGAATGAAATAGCCGCCGTTTTAAAATAGACAAGTTTTGGATTTAAGTTTTAGCAGTATTACCTCGGCTTGCGTCTCATTCAGCAGCACCAGCGCTCTGGCTTCGCGTTGTCTCGCTGCAAGTGCTTCCATCTTCCACTCCGACTTATCTGCAAACCGCGAGATTGATGCCCGCAATGACTCCGTAATCCTCCCCAGTCTCCATCCTTCTTTCCCTCTACTACCACCACCACTGACGATAGCGGAGGTAGCAGAACGCTTCAGTGGTGCGTGTTGTAGCGATCTGCGCATTCGCACCTCACCATTCTGTTGCTGCTGTTGTTGCTGGGCTTCTAGTCGTCTACGAAGAACAGCTAGATGTGGACTGCTGTGTGTGCTGTTGAGTGAGGCTAGTGAAATTTCATCGTGACTCTCAGAGGTGCAGCCGCTATCGCTCAGTGGGGAGGCACTTCCAGTACGTTTAGAGCGATGCCAAGCAGAGAGGGGAACTTGATGGTGATGCGGCGTGACGTCACCTTCCACTACATCAATATCGGCCTCATCATCATCGTCGTCATCTGCGTCAGCATCAGCATCGTAACTGGCAGAGCGGAAGTTGGCGGAGGTTTGCGAGACACGAGGCTCGCTTGCTGTCACCCCTGTCTCCACATCCTCGTCCTCACATTTTAACGCCTTAAGACGGGCAGGGAGAGGGTCGTCGGAGTTGAAGAGGACGTCAAGCCATGGGATCTGACATGTGAAAGAAGTGTCCGATTTTGTGAACGGTTTTCACATGTATGGGAACTCCCATTTCATGGCAGGTGTTGGAACCCTGTGTTTTAGGTACATGTTTGGGATGTCTACGACTCCAGAAACCGTCCGTATTTAGTTTTCCCCCAAGTTCCCATTTTGGTGCCTATTGGCTAGGAGCCCCTGTAAATTGACTATGGCCCAGACCCTAATCATTAACTAAGATGGCACACTAGTTGTCATTTCTCAAAACAAGGTCAACCAGGCCCTAATAGGTAAGCGTGACTAAGCCGACTGAGACACGGACCCGGAGTACTACTCAGGCGCTTCACGCCAGCTTACCGTCGAGCGCGTGAACTTTGCTGACTCATCTCCGTTAATCAATAAATACATCTGTTCCCGGGTCGATCGATTATTTATTGATTATCTGGGTGGAAGGTCGATAGGATCTAGGGCACTAGCGCGCGCAAACTTGAGGTTACACCAACTTAGTCTGAAATGATTTTTTATATAGCAACAGTCCTGAATTCGATGATCTTGTTGTCGCTCAATTTAATCGTGATTTCCATGGAAGGCGGACATTTTAAAGCTTCGAAAAACGAAGAGTTTGACTGGCTAATTGAGTTGCAGTACCCAGCTCTGATGAAAAGAACTGTGTCACGTCAAACTGTGAGTGTTGTGAGAACCTCCTTTACCAGGTGGAATCAATAACGCCGATTTGACAGATTCTCACAGGCAACAACATACCGTTTTAAAACTCCCAATGACGTTTTGTGACTTGTTCTTCCGAAAAATTTGCTGCGGATTTACTCAAAGCTAAATGCTGCTTACTGCTTCGAGGACGCTCTAGCAGATTAGAAGGCGGAGAAAGTCAACACTCGAAATGGCATTAATTAGAGTTGATTTATGAGAAATTATTTTTCAGCTTACACTTTTAAATGCAAAAATCGTTGGGTCCCGGAACGACAGTGATATGAGAAATGACTCTGTCGCCTAAACTATAGGTGAAATTGCCTTTTTCTTCGCTTTCAGTTGGAACCGAGACCATCACCAACCCGGTCTCCCTAAACATGTACCACCTTACAAGGCAGTGGCACAACTCATGGCTGATGGCATGATTAACTCTACCACTTCTTATGCCACCGAGATTGGACGGTTTGTGGTAAACCAAACGAAGAGAATGCAATGTGAAATGGCGACTTACCTGTTCAATGACTTGGTCGATGGCCTCCACACGACTCCGCAAATCCTCGTAAGCCAGCGCCATCTCCGCCTCACGTTGTCTGCACATACACAATTCGGCTTGTAACACCTGCACCTCTTGGGTGCTCGAGGCCTCCAGCTCCGATTTTTGCTGTCAAAAACAAACAAAAATGGCGGGTGAGATGTTGTTGCAGATGGTAGATAACTATGGGAGCCCTTTTGGGGGGCAAATTGTGTCTCCTTTACATCATACTCTAAACAATTATTTCGCAACACTTGTTTGTTTCATGTTAAAGGATTTAATTCTTTTTCAGAAACTATATAAATAAATAAAGTTTTGACATTTCGAGTGATTAGGCAAACGATTCTTTGCTAATGTAGGTTACTCAAAACAACCTCCTATTCCTAACGTAATGCAAAAATCTTAACTTTCTCTACAATACATACATACATACATTCAGTGGAGGTGGCTGGAAGTTTTTTCAAGTAAAAAGGCTTATTTCATTGTTTGTACAAACTACGGCGGCACGTCACTTTCTACAGGTTACACTTCTATCCTATGGCATGGACTGCCACCTCTCCTTCAGCAAGATCTGGGGACCCCACAAGCCCATCGCCATTGGTGGAGGGTTTTCCTGCCCTGGGGCTTCCCTTCCTAGAGCCTTTGTACGGAATCTCGAATCAAAAGAGGGAGAGAGGAGGAGTTTGCGTCAGTTTCTGACATAAAATTTCATCGGTTTTAATAAATCCCAGGCACTTGCATAAACCAATGGCCTAATTTGACCCCAATTTCTCATTTTCCACGAGGTGAATTTCGAAGTGAATCACTCACATTTTACGATCGGTTCAGACGACCGTTGCGTCAGAGCTCACTAGAGGGCAGCTTAGCTTTGTTCTACACACAGTGCTTAGGAAAACATCTTCTATGAAATATACAAATCTTTATTGTCTTTTAACATTAAATGGAGTCCTGCTATTAATCTGTCAGTTAGACAAGGATCCGGTCCCCACAGATTAAATGCCAACTTTCACCTTGACCTCTCATCACATCTCATTGCAATGCTGACGTTTCCTCATATTTTTGTGTCCGGATGGATGATGTGGAATATAGCTTGATATGCACCTTGAATTTTCACCAATTTATGGAAAACAAATAAATAAAAAGGTACATTCTTACATTGATGACATATATCATGCCGTCGAGTGATTAAATGGATGCACTTCAAATCACCGGAAAAAAATGACCCAAAATGAATTAAATATTTGAAAATAATACATCATTGTCGAGGTTTCTAAAAATGTAGAGTGGCATCATTCAATTCGTATCCATTTACTGCAAGAAGGGTTTCCTGCCAAGATCATCACAACCGAGTAATTCAGGGAGGAGGGAGGTTTACCCAAGCTCTCAAAAGCGTAATCCGTCAGTAAAGCTACACATTCGCCCTCATTCATGACCTCCCTGGAGGGGAGAGGGGAGGCCGAAAAAATTGCCAAATTTGTGACGATTTTGTGACCCTAGTACATGATTTATGCATAAAAATTAGTGGAACCTGTCTCCACACTCCCCACCCACCTGCTAATCACACAAGGGCACAAACATTTGCCACTCAAAGTGCAGGGTGCCGGTACGCACGCAGCTTTGAAGACATTTTTACAGTTTCCAACTCGTAAACTTTGATTATACACAAAAAAATTTCACAAGTTTGGAAAACATAGGGGTCATTTTAAGCCTTAGGAATTGCATCTTTGTGCCCATTAAAGAGCCTATCAACGTCAATTGGGTTCAACTTAACCTTTAACGCCCTCAATACCACCGACAAGTTTCTTACCCTTACCCCGACTTTACAACCATGTGATGGCCATTTTAAGTCAACTAATGGTAAACGCCTGGTCCAGATACCATCAAAAATGGACTGCTCTATTGTAAAGCAACAATTCAGAGATAATACTTTTTTTAGTTTTAAGTAGGTATTTACATGAACAAAAAATGACGACTGGTGATGTCATCATTGGAACGCCAAAACTCCCGACAGAGAATGGGATGCGACAGTACTTCTTCCGCCATAAAATAAAGGTGCCCTTGTTTATTCGCAGGAGTCACATGCATGACCTACTGCCGTCACGTACAGCCAACCACAATGGGAAGTCAAAAGTTGATGCATTTTTTGCAACTACTCGAAGAATTTGGCAAGGAACCCTAAGATGGGTGTGGACTTTTAAAATAAAGGGTTATACCAGGCAATTCTCTAGTAGGCTATAAAATAACCAAATTTGCAGTTGATAATTTGAAATCCAAATATGACAGGTGGGAATTAAAAGAGAGCTTAATGTCTTTCTCATAAGGAAACTTTATAATTTTTCGGTAATAATTTGGACTGAAGCCGCTGGAGGATGTCTACAACCTCAAGCGATGCTTCTCCTTCACACCTGATCTATGCGATTTCTAGAGCACGCCGCCATTTAGCTCCCCCTACTGGCCAATAGAACGTTCGTAATAGCACACACAATAAAGTTCAAGGCCAACCAAAACCAGAACTAGCGCGTGTCACCAGCATGGACCCAAACTGATCGCACACAGCTCCAATAAAGTTGGAGAGATGGTTCCTAGCGTCACCTGACATCCTTGGGTTGACAACTGCAGTCAATTTTTGGGGACGTTCTTGAAATCACCTCATGTTCTATTCACCGCTGGTCAAGAACATGTTTAGTTATTCTTCTAGTCTGGGAATTAAATACTTCAATGTGGTTTGCTGCTTAGTTCGCTTTGTTGATTTGCTGCAACTCGTAGAAACATAAAAGGTGAATGCATTGGGCTCTCCACCAACCCCCCCCCCCTACTTCGAATACTTACGTTCCATGACAAGAAGTTGAAGGAAACTGGTGATTCAAACTGCAGTATTTGCATTGCTCACCAAATTTCCCTTGATGGCAAAGACGCAGATTCTAGCACTTCGTCAAATCTATTGCATTTCAGTTAACGAATGAAGGTGTGACAACAGATCGTGCAGAATGGTGTGCGAGTGGTTATTAGAACAAAGTGACTTTTTGATGATGAGACACTCCCAGTTAAAGGGGGCGTGGTGCTGTGGAAGGTGCACCATTCCTCACAGAAAAGATGAATGACGACGTGCGGCTGTTGATAAAGTCGGAAATTGGAGACAAAGGTGTCCAAAAATACTGCGATTATTCACTGCTACTTAACGTGGATAATGGAAGAGGAAGTTGGTATGCACGCACATCGACTGGAAAGTGAAGGGACGTTGGAGAGGGAACTAAGCTAGATAGTGCCGCTAAGATTCCACACATGGACTGCAGATGACAGTAGGGCATGAAGGACTGGCGACTGTTAGTTTCTCGATTTTGCTACCACCTTTACCTGCCTCTAAACGACCAACCAGAAACACACTTGTCTGAACGACCATATCAGATAGAAGACTCCTTTGTAAAAAAAGTAGTAACCAGACTTTTAATACGAATAAACAAAAGGGCTTCAAAACCAAATCCATCCGTTAAATGAGCTTTAATTATATTTTCTCCACCTTCAATTGTGTATGAAGGAATACACTCCTTTAATTACAAACTTCAATGGTTTACTTATGTCAGAAAATCACAACAGCTGCCTTCTAGCAGCTATTGAATAGAACAAAAGTGATGGAGAAGAAATTAGTTTTGAGAGGTTATCTGCCCCTCAAAATGCCGATCAGCTACATTCTCGAATTGTTTTCTACTTAAAATCCATCAGTCAACACCCTCCATCATTAACTACTTCAAAGAATGGCAAATGAAATAGTAAAAACTTCACAAATTTTTCTACCAAATTCAACTGAGCACAGGCCTCCCGCGTCTCATCGAGGGCCGCCGAGAGGTTCATTTGATTTTCAAGGAGGCTGGCGATCATCTGTTTCAAGTAGTCGACGTATTCTGCATTTGCCACCTCCACGCCGGCTTTGATCGCCGACTTTTCGGCCCACCAATTGGTGCCGACTTGGGGTGTCTCCTCTGGTGGATGATTCGTGTGTTTGGGTGTACTCATTGCAGCACTGAAAGACCCAAAGTGGTAAAACATTTAATAAAAATTAAAGTAGACTTTATTTTCTCAGAACTTGTTCATCCTGAACATTTTGTGAAATTAATGCACCAAGTTGTAAGACCGACTTTTTCTTAAAGGGGATTGGTTAAATATGGGGAAAGTAAGAGTCCCTCCACAGTGGACGGTGTACCCGCACTCCTTAAAATGGCATCACTTTATCGTTTTAAGTTTGCGAGTTTATCAACATTAAATAACCCATATTGCTGCTCAGATGAGCTGTAAATGTGAGACACCTTTCAAGAGGAACAGCGACTGATCACGTGGTGGCCACCAGACGCTCCCATAATCTCGAGAGATGGCATAACAATCTGGGAATCCGCAAAACCGGCCTATCCTGTGGATTTACTTCCGTATTTTGCAAGTTTTTGCCTCAAGGATAAACGAGTTGTCAGTCAAGGGGTAGGTCGACGAGTCAATCCTGAATCGTACGACTTCGAAAGGAGTAGTAATCCAAAGAATGCATTTTTACAAGTGAAACACATTCAATCCTATCGTGCATGGGAAGAAACCAAAAGTTTTTGAATTCGGTGAGCGGTAAATTAACCCTACCTACCAACCTGAGCAAAAAATACTGGGAAAATGTGAAAAAAATAGTGGAGCAGCTATTCAGCGTCAGTACAAGTATGCATGCAGTGGCTGCCACACAAAATGAGTGGGGAAGGAATGGCAGGGCCCATCCACGTTGATCGCCCCTTGTAACAGCAGCATCGAAGGTCGCATAGAAACGCTTGATTCACGCCTGAGATGTCAATTTTTCCAGTCAATTAAAGAAGACACCAATCACTTCACTAGTGGATGCCAAATTTGTGCTGATAAAACCATTAAACAGTCGCTTTCCTAGGCTACTTTTCACAGAACAAATAAAGTTTTATCTTGCTGTTGTACTTCTTGCGGAGATTGGGTAATTGTTGCCTTCGGAAATTTAACACCAAGTGACAAACTTTGTTCTTTTCTCACAAACAATAAGCGGTATGTGGTAAAATTTGGCACGATGTTACATGCTAGTTTCTCCGAATTGGCTTGTCTTTTGGACATTTTTGAAGTCGGAAGTTGTGGGTATGAGAAGGAAAATTGCAAAAAACTATTAAAGCCTTTTTTCTGTGCCCAAGTTCCTCCATGCCAGTTATCTTTTTGCCCTAGTTTGGGAAAGCTCCAGCTGCGTAAATCGTCCCCGTTACAACTATTCCTAAATCTGCAGGATTTTACGACCATTTGCTGCAAAAGAAGAGGCAAAGAGCTGCATATTTATAGAAACCGGGACGTTAAGCAACATCATTTGGCATTTTTCTCTCACTTCGTTCATTCGAGAAATGAGCCGTAATAAAACGTGTTCCTCTAATTGAGTCCTGTTTCTTGTGAGAGAAAGTAGTAAATACCTTTAAAATATCTTAAAAGCGTATTTTCCTTTCATATTTGGTAAACAACTATTGCGGTGGGTGCAAATGACTTGTGCAACCACTTATTTACCGCCCCCCTTCCCACCCAGTCCTTTGCTCTGTTTATCCTTCCTCCACACGCCGTTTTTCATTTTTTGGCTTCCAAAGTTACTAATTTATCACAAAGCACCTTGGAAACTTGAGAAAATATACAGTCTACAATAGATTTATGCCATCTTAGCCAAATAAAACTCCATATTTTGTGCAGGTGTGCTTCCAAAGACTATGTTGTGGGTGTGGAGGGCCACAGAGGGAATAGTTTACTTGGGGGAAGTCAAACAGATCTGTCTACCTCATTAAAATTTAACGTATGCAAGAGTAACTTCTCCTTAAAAAGTTAAGTTAAGCCAAGTTAAGTAGTCGGAGGAAAGTCACATCCTTACAAGACAATTCGCGACACACTGTATCACCGCAAAACTGACTCTAGAGGTGTTTTATACTGATAGGTGGGAAGGAGGAGCCGCATCTCACTCTTCCTCTTCCCTCTGTTTCTCCAAGTGAGCATCAACCTTTCTTGATGTCAGGTAATAAAAAGAGAATAGACTCTCAGAAAATAAAGCTGTCTAGGGCCAAGTTTATCCTGGCTTTCAGAAGCAAAACGCCTCAAAAAGTAGAATTAGCAAGCTTGTGGACCTTTACAGAATGAACGTGGGTTGCTAAAGGGCAGAAAAGAACTTATGTCCCTTTTTCAAACTCCCATACTTGATGTTTGCTGCATGTTATGCCTTACCTCAAAAATTTCCCAGCAGGTCTTTAGGATTTGGCAAAAGCCGTGACTTAATTGCAGTCATCGGAAGAAAAAATCCGCGAAATGCCTGAACCATCGCACATCTGCGGTAGCCTCTGAGGTCAAGGGCACATCTTCTCACTCAATCCGTCACTAGCCTACTTACTCTATGCGAACTCAAGGATGCTAACTTTTACTTCCATTCATCACAAAAGCAAAGCAAGAATGACAATTTCCTTCCAAAGCCACTCAAAGGTTTTGCAAGTTCTAATCAAACGTTAGCATAACGTAAAAAGTTCACACGCGCTTTGGCAGTTAGCTACCTTTGATATCAGCTAAAAAAATTCATTAGTGAAATGTTGTAAAGGCATTTTTTGATGATTATTGGGATGTTTTTAATATAAAAGTGACCCTGAAGTAAATTGGCGCTGCAGTTATTTCACACACGCCTCAGTCGGTAACGTTTACACCCATCCGAAGGAGTAAACAGGAAATTGTGTCTCCTTTTAAGCTACTTTGTCGGAAAGACAGAAAATTTGATTCCGAAAGGTTGGTTCATCACCGCTTTTGTTGAGAAATAGAGCTCGGGTTCCTTCATTTGCATTGGTTCGAGACTAGAAGGTGACATTTGTCAAAAAGATTCACTTAAAGGTACATCTGATCATGATTTAAAACAAAGAAATTGTATTTTTACATTATTAAGGAGGAGGGGAAACAATATAATTGTAAGATGTGTACTGTCTACTTTATTTCATCCTTGGTACAGTTTAGCCAGTCCTGTGGTACAGTAATTTGCCGTTATTTTTGTACAACAAGAGGAGAATATAATGCTGCTAGTCCGAAATCAACCACATTATAACTCGCAATTCTGGTGGTTAGGTTGTTATTTAATTCAACAGGCAATTTCACCTACCTCTAGTTTTGGTCAGCTTAGTTCTGTATCACATTTCATTTTGTCCTTTTCTTCAGTAAATGAGCTTTGCCAGGGATGCAACTTTCACAAAAGTTCTCACATTCTCTTCGGGAGAAGAGAAAGAGGGTGTCGTGGATCCACTCGCTTTGTGGTTTTACATGACACCTACTTCTAACAAGCCTCCGTTTTCGGAATCCTCAAAGTAACCAAATGACTCGTTGTCAAAAATAAAAGCATAAACCATTCATCCCCGCCGCTTTGATTCAGATGAGAGAATACTTCTTTTTATGTTTGTAAAAGAAGAAAGCTCGACATCCGATTGAACCACACAAACGTACGCTTTGCGAGTTTCTTCTCTTAGCCTCACAATTTTTAAGGTCAATTGCGTTTTAAGTGTGAGACAAGCTACCACCGCGTCGGCTACTGGACTCGCGGAGGAAGGTCGACCACTAGGGGTCAGATTTTCTTTTCATAATTTTTTGACCAAAAAACTGAAAACGCAATTCGCCCCAGGTCGCAGACATCCCACAGCCACTTTGTTGCTCCAGACCCAGCCGGTCTGTTCTGGGTATCTGGTAGAAAATATACATAAAGTATATTTGTGACTCCAATCTAGGATGAGAAAATCGGGACACCATGCATAAATGACCCCTGTTGCGAACTCATTTAGCTACTCTGTCAGTAACTTGAAACATCAACGACAGGGAAATCAACTTTGCCTTTCTTTGCCCTTGGTTCCTCCCCAATTTATTGCAAGTTTTCTACGGCATCGCAGTGCCCTGGAAGTCCCGAACTCCAAAACTCACCATAGATTAGGCACTGAAACGGCGTATGCTCCAATTCTGCCACACGAAAGGAATTAAAACAAAGTGCTTAGTGCAGCTTCCCTGAATTCGTGTCAGTAGAAAGGAAATTTGAACTCACAATCGTGCAGGAGAGCGTTTCAATAGTTGAAAGCACAGTAATGGGTTTTATTACGTCCTATAATAAACTTTTAGTCAGCTTCACCGCCTGTGTTTAAGTATGAGAGCTGTTTAGACTCCGTGCATTGCACTCCCACGGGGTGAGGTGGCCTTTGGAACGTCCTGACGGCCTACTGGCTCATTAGTAAGTTAGTAGTATATGGTTCTCTGCACTGCCTCGGCTTATTACGACCTCGGAGAGGCCCCGGAGGGCTACATACCACAAGATTTATGCTCTAGCTTAGTACTTGACCATAATTTTGCAAAAAATGAAAACAAAAAAGTATCACTTTCTCACAAAAACAAGCACCTTTTAACTTATGCATTACAACTTGCACATCTTTTAACTGCACTTTTCCACTCTATTCGTTGAGGATGAACAACTTGTGGGTTTTTGTATTGTGCACTTCTCAACTGTTCTTTCATTTAACTTGCAGATTCTTTCGTGCTTTGTGAGTCAGTTCCTTAAGGTCAGTTACGCACTTAAGTGGTCGAGTTAAGACAAAAACCGCAATAGTTCCCATAAATTGTCATTCACCAAAGTGTCCTGTGTAATTAACGCCCAGTAGAGAAATAAAGGTTACTTAAAAAAACCTTTACTATCATTCTCAGTAGCAGATTTCTTTTCATTTTAACTTATGTGTCAAAAAGGAAACATTCTAGATGAGGAAAGTTTACTTGCCTTTGGAGAAAGGAAGACTTTTACATTTTTTCCTCAATCATTAAATGATAGGCGCTCTCTACCAAAGAAAAAAAGGAATATTGTCACTCTATCGAGTTAAGTATTCTTCCTTTCCTAACTTCGGAAGTTGGCAAGAGACTAATCTGATTCTCTTTAAAGCTTGATGCCAAGTGTCTGGAAAAGTGCCATCCACGTCATAAAAACGTATGATGCATTTTATCGT